CATAATTTTCACAACCACCCATGTAGAGTTTAGGGTTCTTTGGTTTCAAGTCAAGACTCGCATCCTGAATTCATAGGGGTCGGAATGATTTTTGCGAACTCCTGTTTACAGCCCCTATACAGGTTTTATATTTTCCAAAGCCCTATGCTGCTTATCGCCGCCCCGACGTTGAAGCCTGCAGCATCTCACAAAAATCCTAGGATTTGGAGCCCAAAAATCCTAGACCTCCAACCCTAAACCCTAAACCCTAAACCCTAAACCCTAAAATCTAAATTTAAACCCTAAACCATAAACGCTACTGCCTCTGCCAGGGAAGGAAGTGCCGAAGCTGCCAGAGCGCTTCTTGGGCTTCGAGGATGTCGTGGCCAAGGCGAAACCCCAGTGTAGGTTTTGGAATTTGGGGTTTTGGGGTTTAGAGTGTAGGGTGTTTTTCGGGGAGGGGATGGTTCCTTTTTTGGGTTGTCTCTAGGTTTTGGAATTTGGGGTTTGGGAGTTTTGGGGTTTAGGGTTCAGGCTTTCTTTCGAGGAGGGGATGGTTCGTTTCTTGGGTTCTCTCTAGGGTTTGGAGTTTGGGACTTAATAAGGCTCTGGGACTTTAGTGATGTTTAGGGTTTTGGTGCTTTAGAGGTATTCGGGTTTAGGCTTTTTGCTGATGTCGTTTCAGATGTCGGTGGCTTGCCAGAACCCAGAGAGCCCAATACCCTTAATTAATTAAGAGATCCGAAACCCCGCCAAAAAAAGGCAGCAACACCCGAGCTAACTCCTAATATGGTAACCTGATTAAGAAGCCTTGGGCCTTCATATGAACCCTAGTATTTTGAGGTTGTAGCAGGGTTTCTTGACAGTACCCTCAACCATAAGCTTAGCTCTAACATAGACCCCCTACAAGCCCTAAACCCCAAACCCTCGCAAAAGCTCAAACCCTCAGAGCCCTACGCCTAAGCCCCAAGCCCTTACCTTAACGCTGCAAAACCTACCTTTTTAGGGTTCCTTATTATGATTTCCTGATATAAGTCCTTCAAAAGGTATGTTATTCCGGTTTAAGGTAAAGCCGTAAAGCCTAAACCCAAATCCCAAAACCCTAAACCCTGAAGCACCAAAGTCCCCCTCACCACCGAAACCCCCTGCGAGGAGCTCGGGGACTTGGACTACCCTTGGAATCTCAAGGCCGCAGACTTCTCTGGCCTTGATTTCTCCAAGACCCAACCGTTTCATGAACTTTCTGGGCTCTCATCCTTTAGCAGAAATTTGAGAGTTTAACCGTTTATGGTTTTTTCTTTAGCTTATTGTGTAAGTAGATCTGGCCTTGAAGGTCTACCAAGTATTCTCAAGCCCTGCCATCAACATCCCATCAGGGCCAGCTTCGACAAAAAGCCATTCAGGATGCCTGAGTTTGCCAGCGTTAAGTTTAAGGTGGTTTAGGGTTTACCTTAGCCTTAACCCTGAACAACCTACCTTTTTTGGGTTCCTTTTTATGATTTCCGTTTATAAGTCCTTAAAAATGTAGGTTCTTCCGGGTTAAGGTAGGGTCTAAGAATCAGAATGCCTGAGTTTCGGGGTTTGGGGCTTCAGGGCATGACCTGATTATAGCTGTTCTACACCCATTCTGCAGCCCCATTAAGGGTCCTGAACCTTAAACCCCTTAAACCCTAAACCCTAAACCCTTTAAGCCCTAAACCCGACACCCGAAACCTTAAACCCGAAACCGGCCGGGCCCCGCCTGACCAACAGGTCTTCCGTAGGCCGAGACAGAATTTGCAGACTGAAAAAGGTGCTTAAAACAAAAAACGGTCGGGTCCTTGTGCCCTTTGAACCTTTCCTTGGGAGGCCATGGAGGAGCGAATCCAAGAGTACAGCACCATCTCCGAGGCATGGCTCCCTCTGGGGAGGTGCTCTTAGGGTTTAGGCCTTAAGGGGGGGGGTTTAGGGGATAGTGGATTTAGGGGTTTAGGGTGTTAGGGGTTTAGGTTCGTGGTTTAGGCTTTAGGGTGTTAGGGGTGTTAGGGGTTTAGGGATTGGGGCTCTTAGTTGCGGCGGAGACAGGAGAGGTCGAAGCAAGGTGCAAGGAATCGTAGGTGTCATCGTCATCATGAGAATACCTGGGGACAGTTTTGAGGGTTACACCCTCTAATTAAGGGGTCATAACCTACTAGTTTGAAGGGTTTGGGGATGCAGGTAGTGACTAGCAGCCGACTCAGCCGACAGTTTCCTCGGGTGCTCGTCTCTCTGAGAGGCCATCAATGCCCAGCTCTCCGCGCGGGTGATGCAAAACTACAACGAGTTTGTCACCGGAATGCAGATGGCCCGGGACCCGGCTTCTTGAATTTATGCGCTCTGGGGTGCTTCTCCACAGCCGTCGTCCCCTCAAGTTGCTGCTTCTTCCTTCACCTCATTAACACATTTTTCTTTGTTACATATCTTAGACTATGGATACTATAGTCTGTAGTGTTGATTATGTACGGACCGTAGAGTATGGAGTACACATTTTCTACACTTTCTACTATGGAATATACACATTTCATTTGCACAGATGCATTGTTGTGCCCCGGCGCTTTGTCAAGCATTTGCGTGCAGGGAAGACTGGGGCTTCGAATCGCCAACCCTGCGGTTCCATATAGTAAGCAAGGGCTCCTTAAAGGGTTCTCGTAATGGGGTCTCCTTAAAGGGATCGAGGGTTTAGGGTTTAGGGTCTACTTACTCAGTCCCATGATCCTCTAAGTATTTACGTTGGGCCCAATGTACCGATATAGGGACTGCTTTAAGGCCAATGTATATACTATTTGGGGACATGGACCCTTAGGTGTCCAAACCCCGAGTTTCCAGTACCAGCCTTGCACAGGGTTCAGGGTGTCAGGATTTATATCATCAACCGTAGGACGGAAGACCCTCCGACGCAGGTGCAGTCGGTGGAAACGGAGTTGTCGCTCATCGGCCTCTGCCTCAGTGCTCCAAGTCGCAGCTCAGGAGCGAGCCCTACTGTAGGGGCCGTATTCATTAGATTATTAAGGTCCCTACATTGCATAACCTACCTTTTTCGGCTTGCCTGTGTAGGGTAAAGGGTTCCCTGTTATGAGTTCTTTCTGTAAGCCCTTCAGGTGCGTCAATTGAAAGAAGGGGCTAAGGGTTTCGGGTTCCAGTCTTCAGCGAACTCTAAGCCCCCAACCCACAACCCCTAACCCCTAAACCGACCCTGAAACCCTAAAACCCGACAGCCGAGACCCCGAAGCTTGAAGAGGCTGGGTGCACAGCAGGTTAAGTTCCCCTTATGGACCCTATGCAGTTATGATTCTATACGGGTGGTTGTCAAAATGATGGTCCCTTTGGGGGTCCTTATTATACTACGGCACCTAATACTTAGGGTACCCAAAAAGGGACCCTGATTTTGACAACTACCCATATGTAGTGTATCATGGTAATGTCCCCCTATGGTCCCTCACCACATTAGAACATACCCTCCAAAGCCCATTCTGACCTGTCTGATCGATTCCTCAACCCCCCCTTTCCAAAAACAAAAACTTAAACCCTATGCCCGAAACCCTGAAACCCTATGCCCTTAAACCCTAAGCCCAAAACCCAAAACCCTAAACTTAAGGCAACCAAAGTCGCCCTCGCCACGCCGGGCCGTGAGGCGTCCTTGTCAAAAATGGTCGCCGGAAGCTGCAGATGCACGATCAAGGCCGCAATGCTTACCAAGAGGTCTTAGGGTGTAGGGGCAATCCTTATAGTAAGTTTTATATCAACCCTTATAGCAACCTTTTAAGTAATCCTTGTAGTAACCTTTATAGGATGCCTTAAAGAAATCCTGATCGTATTGTAGCAGCCCTTGCAGCGATTCTTAAAGCAATCTTGAGATAACAGCTAGGTCCGCTCAGTCTTTTGCTGTGGCTTGCCAGTACTTAAAGGCTCATGGGACTTGGTAAGTAAGGTTATAAGTAGGTTATAATTAGGATACGCCCACTTAGGGGACTTATAACCCTAGTTATAACCTACTTACTAAGTCCCATGATCCTTTAAGTACGCGGCAGAGTCAGCAGCAGCAGCAGCAGGCTAGCATTTGGTCCAGGTTTCGGCAGCAGAGTACGTGCTGAACTACGGTGGTCATGAAGGAATCTTTATAGTACCCCCTACCCAGAGGCCCCAAAGTAGTTCCTTTTTGGGAATACCTTATAGGATTCTATATACGAACCCCAAAAGGGAACTACTTTGGGGCCTTTGGGTAGCGGAGCCCCTCTGACGTAAGCTGCAGATGCACGATCAAGGCCTTGGGCTCGGGGTTTGGGATTGCACCTTTGCGTCTGGAGCTGTTTTGGAGTATTGTTATTCCGTATTCAGGGTTCCTATAAAGGTTCCTATAAGGCTTGCTGTAACTCTAAGGGTTGCTAGAAAGGGCTCCTGATGATAGTTACAGTGTCGCATAGTCAAGAGTCAAGATCCTGTTGAAATCATTAAGGAGCTGGGTTCCTGAGTCGTACCCTTTTGCCCTTATTATTAACAGGTTATTCAGGAACCTAAGGAGGGTTTTGATTCCCAGAACTCCGGCAGCCACGACTTGTCGGAGACTTCACCCTTCCGATCTGAATCCCAACCCCCCTGAACCGTAAAGTGTTAATATAGAGGCCCTAATAATTAGAATCAGGTTTTGGGGTATATGATATTGCAAATTTAATACGGAACCCCCCCCCAAAAAAAATACTATAGGAACTTATTAGGGCCCCTACATTGCACAAGCCTAAACACCCCAAACCGCAAGCAACTCAAAAGCATCGAAGCTTCCGGCAGCGGGGAGTCTCTGAAGGCATCACACGCGGCTCCATGCAGGTCACGACGGAGCCTGAGCAATAGCCTCCGGGCAACCCCTGTAAGGTTTGTAGGGAATTATAGGGCTGTGTTCTTAGAGGATCATGGGACTTAGTAAGTAAGGTTATAAGTAGGTTGTAATTAGGATAACCCCACTTAGGGGACTTATAACCCTAATTATAACCTACTTACTAAGTCCCATGATCCTCTAAGTAGGGGCTATTTCGGGTTCTTCTTGGATCTTCTAGAGTCTGGGGCTGATGGGATCTAGGGTTTCGTGTTGTTCGGGTCCAGGGGTGTCATGCTGCGGGTGGGTGCGGGGTCCCATGTTTGTTGGCAGCAGTCCAAAGTTGGGCTTCTCCTTTCAATATTCTTGGCCCTAAACGTTACATGAACCGTAAACCTTGCACCCTTTCTACAGGGCTTTCCTAGATGCTTTTCCGAAATGGGGCCCGCAGAAGCATCCCAAAACCTTGGAGCCCTCGTGGTCTCTCTTATCTTCCTAAGCATGGGAGGATCATGGGACTTAGTAACTAGTGTTATAACCAGGTAACTATAGTCGTAGTTGCTTATATTTTAAGGTACCTACAACTTTAAGGTACCTATAACTTTACTTACTAAGTCCCATGATCCTTCGAGCACGCAGTAGCTTTTCAAAGAGCATTGAGCCCGATGAGGCGTCAGCACCGACGGCAGCAGCGGATGAAAGCGCCTGGGCTGATGAGATTAAAGGTTTTTTGGGTTCTGGGCTCTGGGAGTTTCCGAAAGTAGGGGTCCCTTAGGGTTCCTTTAAAGGGTTCCTTAAAGGGATCTATAAGGGTTCTACAAAGGGTTTAGGGTTTAGAGTTTCCGAAAATTAGGGGTACCTTATTCGTGGGTCCTTATAATAAGGATCCTGCTGTTTAGGGGTACTAAATTAGGGTCCCCTGTTTTCGGAGACTTCCCCTATGGCTAAAGTGTCAATGGTATCACCCAAAAAGCCGAGTCAACTCCTTCAGGCTTCGACGTGACACAACCCAAAAGCCTAAACCCTACTTAGATTAGAGGATCATGGGACTTAGTAAGTAGGTTATAACTAGGCTTATAAGTTCCCTAAGTGGGCTTATCCTAATTATAACCTACTTAGAACCTTACTTACTAAGTCCCATGAGCCTTTAAGTAAATCCCACACCCTTACGCCCCTAAACCCCCGACACGCCAGGCCCTTTACCCTTAAGCCTCTGAACCTCTACATCCCAAATGGATAGTTGTCTCAATAAGGGTCCCTTTTAGGGTCCTGTTTATAGGAGTGCCGTACTATGTTGGGGACTTGAAAAAAGGGACCCCAAGTTGAGAGAACTACCCATACAGAACCCTGAAGTTACTCTGAGAGAAACCCTACAAAGAACCGTATATAGATCCTTTTCAGGAACCCGGCAAGGGGACCCCTTAATTTAGATGACTACCCCATTTAACTACACCTCTTGTAGTTCCCTTATAGAAGCCCTATAGAAACCCTTAGTGGTCCCCCTCAAGGGAACCCTTTAAGGGGACTGCCTGATTCACAGAACTTCCCAAATTCCAAAGCTCAAGATCACCGTGTACCGCCTTGGCAGCCTCTGGAGCCTCAATTTTAGGGACCCAAAAGGCACATAAGCACAAGCATTTTATCGGGATGTCCCTACCTTATTGGGCTTCACTATAAGGGGGTTTATATGGGATATCCCTATCCTAAGTATTGCTTATGTGCTTTTTGGGGGGACCTACGATTTCGTAGCAACCGTCAGCACATCTTCGGCTTTGGGTTTAGAGTTTAGGGTTTAGTAGAGATCCCAATGCCCCTTAATTAAGGAATATACCTTGAATTAGAACAGGATCCCTACGGTGGATGATATATATCCTGCATTACCTTAAGGACCCTAAACTATGGGAATTATGGTATATTCCTCTTTATGGGTAATGCAGGATTTATATCATCAACAGTATTTTGATTTAAGGTCTAAAGCCTTCGAACCCAAAAGGCCCTAAACCACCCAAAGGTATCCCAAAAGCCTTAAACCCTAAAGGCCCTCCGCCCTAAAGGGCGCACCGTTTTGTCGGTCCCCCAAAATAGTAGGGACCCAAATAAAGGGGACCCCCTATGGGTGGTTGTCAAAATTAGGGTCCCCTTTTTTGGGTCCTTAATATAGTACGGCACCTATTATATAGGGTACCCAAATAAGGGGACCCCTGATTTCGGAAACTCTACACCCCAAAACCCTTTATAGAACCCTAATAGATCCCCTTAAGGAGCCCTTAAAGGAGCCCTTATAGATCCCTTCAAAGGTAACCCAATTCCCCGTACAAACGGGACCCCATATGAGCAACGAAGGAGCTGCTCGCGATGCTGGAGGAGCTTGAGGCCAGAGCTTCGCCAACCTTGGGGACGAAATGACCCTTAACTAAGGAATATGCCTTAACTCATATTTCGGACCTTATTATAATTTAAACCAATTTAGAGAGGTATATTCCTTAAGGAAGAGGTATTGGGATCTCCGGGACCCTAAACCCAAATTGACCCTGATAAGTAGGGGCCCTATACCCTTATACTATGAATCCCTAAAAGGTATATGAACCGTAAACCCTTTTGAGTTCGTCCTTGAGGAAAAGAGCGGAAAGTTGCAAAGCGACTCGTTCATACGGGGGGCCTTAAGAATTAGAATGGGGGTTTGGGGTGTACTTCCTAGTACCTAGAATTGTGATACTCAGACCTAAGAAAGGCCCTCCTAATCCTTACGGACATTATTGTTCAAATACTAATGATGAATACGAGTAATAATGATGGGCATCAACATAGTCACGACTGTTATATTGCATCATCATTATTACTCGTATTATTCATTACGGCTGATGGACAGTATCCTGCATGACCTTAAGGACTCTAAACTATGGGAACTATGGTATATTCCTTATTATGGGTCATGCAGGATTTTGTCCATCAACCGTAGTATTAGAATCATGTCCGTAAGGATGAAGATGGTCTTCCTTAGGTCTCCGTATTACAGTTCTAGGAACTAGGAAGTACCCAAAGGCCCCAAAGTAGTTCCTTTTTGGGGTTCGTATATAGAATCCTACAAGTTATTCCCAAAGAGGAACTACTTTGGGGCCTTTGGGTACCGACTGCATCCTGAAGCCCTGCTTCGCCCACCTCGAGCCGATTGTCGGGCTCGAAGATGAAAGGCAGAATAATTGGACATGCATTGCCTAAGGCTCCCTGTTATCACTATCACTATACCCGACGATGCCCTCCAAACGCTCGCTGTCCTAATTCTTGAGGCAGATGTTTTTGATGTTGCATGGACCGTGCGAAGGAGTCGGTTTTGGACGGTTACGGTCGTGCAACTTTTGCGGTGAAGGGTCTAAGGCCCGGCCGTCATGTCCCCGCCAGGGCGTCGTGGCCATCAACCAGCGTCTCCGGCATCGCGTCGACGCTGGACAATACGCGGAGGTGGCTTGTTGAGATGCAGGTAGGAACTGAAGTGTTGGGGCGACTCTGTATTGTCATTGTTCTGTTTATGGACCTTACCTGGATCCCCCCAAAATATGTAGAACAATAGCCTTTTTATGGGTTTTGGGCCATTGTTTTACCTTTGGGGGTTTAGGTAGGGACTTATATCAAGTCTTTCAATGGCAAAAGGCGTCATGGCTTTGTTCATGGCCCGACAGGAGTGGCTTCATATGCATGGGCCCGTCTTTGTCTCAACTTCTTGGTATTGCGTCCTAGTCTGTCTGAGGCCAAATGTGTTCAGCTACGTAAGGTTACTATAAGGTGTATAACAAAAAAGTTATTATACGGTTACCATAAGGTTACCGTTACCACGATGTTACCATAGGCCGCCACCCTGAAGCTACAATCAGCAATATGCAGCTATGAAGTTACCATGAGGTTACTATAGCATACCCCCAAACCGTAGCCAAGTAAGGCCCCTACGGTGAATCGCAGAAAGTTGGGGTTATAAGTAGGTTACAATTAGGATAACCCCACTTACAGGACTCATAACCCTAATTATAGCCTACTTACTAAGTCCCATGATCCTCTAAGTATCACAGTCGCCGGATGTGTTCACAGGCCATTGCGCAGCATGGGCTCCTGCGAGATGCTTTGGCCTTTGCCCGAGACAGTCGGGCGAAGGCAAAGGGCTCACCTTAGCGGTACTTTGAAATAGGTTTTAATTTTTGTTATCATAATCCCTAAGAAACAGCTAAAATTATAATTGTTGCTAGGGTTCCAAGTTCAGCATAGTACGTAGGTTAGGATCTAGGGTTTAGGGTTTGGGGGCTTATACGCAGGAACTCGAAAAGGCATTGAAACCTACTTTTGGGGTATATGTGTGTGTCCTTCAGGAAAACTTGAATTGTGAGATCCTTACAGTAAACCCCATAAAGTTCGAAACCGGGTTGGGGCCAAATAGTGCTGGGATTCCCTATACATTACTTTTAAGGATTGAGGCTATGGGGTTTCCAACCTTTGGGCTTCTACTGTACGTTTACTTAAAGGCTCATGGGACTTAGTAAGTAAGGATATAAGTAGGTTATAATTAGGATAACCCCACTTAGGGGACTTATAACCCTAATTATAACTTACTTACTATGTCCCATGATCCTCTAAGCAGGCGTTGTCATGCTGAGAGATCCTGAACCTTCCAAAGCCCAAGCTTTCGGTCGCCCAAAAAGACGCCCCAAAACTTGGAAACCCAATAGCCTCAATCCCTTAGATTAGAGTAATGTTTAGGAAATCCCAGCACTATTTGGCCGTAATCCGGTATCCAAGTTGATGGGATCACTGCAAGCGTAAAGGAGTTGCAGGGGCATCCCTACCTCCTTGGACTTCGATATAGCGGGGTTTATCTTGGAGTTGGCTATCCTTATTTTTGCTTATGAAGGTTCCACAGCTTAAACCTTACATCTTAGAGCCTTGACGCCGCGTGAAGAAGACAAGGCCAAATATCTTCGTCAGGGTCATCGCGCTCACGACAATGTATAAACCATCCACTTTCACCTACAGACCAACAAGCGGCAAAATCACCCTAAACCCTAAACCCCTAAGCCTCTAACCCTCAATACGGACCCCTAGGTATATCATCTTAATATGGCTTTTATATAGGCATTATATAGCCCATCACCGGGGAGGGATCCCCATTAAGGATCCCTCCTTTTACTCTTTGATCTAAGCAAACCATGAGCACCCTAAGCCCTAAATCCTAAACCCTAAACCCATAAAAGCAACCCATGAGCAGCTTTCCGGGGCTACTCTCACTCCTCCTGTTCTTCGATCGCTACACAGCTGCCCCCTATGTAAAGAACCGTACAAACTTCACAGAGACCCTTACTGACGTATTAAGTAGGTAGTAAGTATAGACCTTAGATTCTAAAAGGGAGCTTAATTGTGGTTATGATATTTATCTTACTAAGTCCCCTGACCCTCCAAGTAACAAACCGTATAAGACCGCAAGGTAACCTGAGACCGTGCAAAGTCAGAACAACATGTTATTCAAAGCAACCTGAGAAAACACCAGATCCTGATACCCTTCGCCCGAAACCCGAAAATTTGCGCCGCAATTACATTTTTGAATGATGCCCTCCTTCCAAGACTATATGATAATTGACCCCCCAAACAACCCCGTAGACGCCCTAGAACACCCTACTCGAACCCTCAATGTGAGCCTCATGATAATTATCAAAGCCCCCCTATATTGAAATCGAATACATTGTTGTGGTTCAAGCTTATAACAACGCTGAAAACCTTTGTAAAGACTCCAAACCCCTGGTAAAGAAATTTAGCCCCTGACCCATGAAGCCCTAAACCCTAAACCCCCCCATCCTATACCGTATACTCTAAATCCGGCTGCCTCACCACGAAACCCCGATGGCCCTTTAACAGAGCCCTTATGGTCCTTAGTAGTGGGTATTTGGGGTATGAGAGAGAGTAGTTGCGGCCTTAAATATAAAACTGGAAGATTTTTTTCGGGAACCCACCAAAACCCTAATCGACTTATTAAGGCCCCTACATTTGACCTTAATGCAAGGGTAAAAGGAGGGACCCTTAATAAGGACCCCTAAGTTTTTTCCTTTAATATAGGCATTATACACCCATTATATAGCCCATTATAGGGTAGGGGTCCCCATTAAGGGTCCCTCCTTTTCCCCGTTGATTTAAATCCCGTTGCTTCGATCTGAGGACCCCACGCAGTACGGGCGCTTCCCGTGCCTTGTGGGCCTGCAGAAAAGCTCGAGACTGAGAGTTTCCAAGCAAGGGCCTAAAGTAAAAGCCAGAAAGTTGGAATATGATTATCCTAAGCCCTTTATGGTAAATTATAGGGTATCCTACCCTGAAACCATATTCCAACTTTCTGGAGTTCCCTTTAACGGGTGTAGGGTTGATGGTTAAACTATGGGGGCCTTACATGGGTGGTTGTCAAAATTAGGCTCCCTTTTGGGTCCTTATCATAATACGGCACCTAATATTTAAGGTACCCAAAAAGGGACCCTAATTTTGACAACCACCCACATGAACCCTAAACCCTCAACCCGAAACCGTGAACCCTAGCCCCCCAAAGCAGCCAAACCTCGCTCATCCATGTCCTGGCTCGTCAAATGGGTGGTTGTCAGGGTCCCTTTTTGGGTCCCTATCTTAATACGGCACCCAATATTTAGGGTTTAGGGTTTAGGGCTTTAGGGCTTTGGGGACTTAAGGTTTAAGGGCTTAGGGGTTTAGGGTTCAGGGGTTTAGGGTTTAGGGTTTAGGGTTTAGGGGTACTCAGAATAGGGCCATGATTTTGACAACTACCCAACTCGAAAGCCCCGGAACTTGAAGCCAAGAGTCCTCTAGAGTGCTAGAGACAATGCTTGTTATGTGTGTGTGTCTGAAGATATAGGTTTAGAGATAGATAGGTAGAGATACAAAAACAGATGCAGATATAGATGTAGATATAGATGTATCTGTAGGTGTATATGAGTAGCGATGCATAGTACACACTCTATGTACAGATGTATATATATATGTATATATATATATATATGTATGTATATATATATATATACGTACATATACACATGTGTATGTATATATGTACATGTATATATATACATATATATATATATATGTATGTGTGTGTTAGCACGCGAAGTACAAAACGCAAGATGTATATATAAGTATACACACACGCACATACTTCTATGTATGGGTACATGCATGCATGTATGCGTGTGTGTGTGTGTGTATGTGCATGTGTGTATATATATATATATATGTATATATACATGTGCATATATACAGGTTTACATGCATGCACGCAGATACGCACATATTCCTACACATATATATATATATATAGATATAGATATAGATGTAGATGTACCTCTCTCTGCTCTCTGCCTCTCTTTTTCTATATATAAATTTCCACACACACACACACACACACACATGTTATACGTGTTTTTTGTATGTCTATGCAAATCTATATGTTTAAAAACATGGCTCGTTCTATAGACTCGTTCTCCCTCTCTCTCTCTCTCTCTCTCTCTCTCTCTCTCTCTCTCTGTACATACACATATACATATACATCTATAACACTGGCAATCTCTCTCTCTCTCTCTCTCTCTCTCTCTCTCCATATATATATATATATATATATGTATAATTATATATATATGCATATGTATGTATGTGCGTATGCGTATGTAACAAAGAGTTATAGTATGTAATATGTATATGTACATACACGTTGATCTATGTGCAGACACACATGTACACAACAAGGCATGATACTGTTCAGCGGTCTCGCAGAAAATCGAAAAGGGACGTGGCAACATGTCAATTGAAGTGACAGTTGGGCTGCTCAGCGGCAAGACAGCCACTGTGACAGCAGATTTGGATGAAGAGGTGGGAGCACTCAAGCATCGGGCAGAGACCGCCCTCGGAGTTGCCAGAGGCCGGCTCGTGGGCTCATCCGGAACCGTCTTGGATGTAAAGGCACCGATCAAGTGTGCTGGGCTGCGAGATGGCGATTCTCTGACCTTGCACATAAGCAGAGTTCAAGTCCAAGCTAGTCGTGTCGATTTTGCTGCCATTCTCGGCGATGCAACCGTCGTGACATGGGGTTATTATGTATACGGTGGTGACAGCGGTGCTGTACAAGATCAGCTGAGGAATATGCGGCAGATCCAAGCCTCGGGCTGCGCTTTCGCGGCCATTCTTAACGATGGCTCTGTCGTAACCTGGGGTCATGGCTATGGCTGCGACAGCAGTGCTGTGCAGGATCAGCTGAGGAGTGTGCAGCAGATCCAAGCCACTGGCGATGCTTTTGCCGCCATTCTCGCAGATGGTGCCGTCGTGACGTGGGGCGATGCTGAACTTGGCGGTGACAGTAGTGCTGTACACGATTGGCTGAAGAACGTGCAGCAGATCCAAGCCTCTATCGGTGCTTTCGCGGCCATTCTTGGTGATGGATCTGTCGTCACCTGGGGTGATGCTGATTGTGGTGGTGACAGTAGCACTGTGCAGGATCAGCTGAAGGACGTGCAGCAGATCCAAGCCTCTGACGCTGCTTTCGCTGCCATTCTTGGTGATGGATCTGTCGTCACCTGGGGTGATGCTGATTGTGGTGGTGACAGTAGCACTGTGCAGGATCAGCTGAAGGACGTGCAGCAGATCCAAGCCTCTGACGCTGCTTTCGCTGCCATTCTTGGTGATGGATCTGTCGTCACCTGGGGTGATGCTGATTGTGGTGGTGACAGTAGCACTGTGCAGGATCAGCTGAAGGACGTGCAGCAGATCCAAGCCTCTGACGCTGCTTTCGCTGCTATTCTTTCTGATGGCTCTGTTGTGGCCTGGGGTGCTGCTCGACAGGGTGGGGACAGTAGTGCTGTGCAGGATCAGCTGAAGAATGTACAGCAGATCCAAGCCACTGGCGATGCTTTTGCCGCCATTCTCGAAGATGGAGCCGTCGTGACATGGGGTAATGCTGAATTTGGCGGTGACAGTAGTGCTGTACAGGGTCGGCTGAAGAACGTGCAGAAGATCCAAGCCTCTAGCTGGGCTTTTGCTGCAGAGCTTGGCGACGGATCGGTCGTGACCTGGGGTTCTGCTCACGACGGTGGTGACAGCAGCGCTGTGCAGGATCAGTTGAAGAATGTTCAGCAGATCCAAGCCTCTGTGCGCGCCTTTGCTGCAGTTCTTGGCGATGGATCTGTCGTGACCTGGGGTGAGACAGGTGGTCACAGGATCGTTTGAAATCTGACGTGTAGAAGCTCTCACGATCTTTCAGCTTGCAGAGGGCTGGTAGTGGCACAGAACAAGACCCGCACCAGCCACTCGCAAATTGCAAAATGTGCCGGCGAAGTGCTGACGAAAGGCCGGGAACGTTCGCGCTCTTGCAGAGCCCTGACTTCCACCGCCACTCTTGTACTATAGGGGCCTTCATAATTACCGATACTATTCCTCGGGTTGCTTTCTATAAGTATAGCATAATGGGCCCCCCAACCCTCTTCTAATTATTAAGGCCCCTATAGTATCCGAACCCTCGCAGCGCTTAACGGCTCATTAGGGTTCAGGGCTTTGCTTTAGGATTTCTGGGTTTTTCAAAGGGGTAAAGGAGGGACCCTTAATGGGGACCCCTACCCTATAATGGGCTACATAATGGGCATATATTAGCAATATAACGGGTATATGCCTAGGGGTCCTTCTTAAGGGTCCCTCCTTTTACCCTTGGAGTTTTTGGGTTAGCATTGCACCACTGTTATTGTCGATCCACACACTATCTTAGACCCCTTAAAGGATACAAACACTAAACCGTACTTTTTTGTAGGTTCTTATTGTAAACCCTAATATGGAATGTGAAGGGACCTTACAAAAAAGTAGGTTTTGGTAGGTTCAGGGATACAAACACTAAACAAGAGGAATTTAGTGGTTTGAACAATTTTCGTGTTTTGGGGTTTGGAGTTCAGGCTTCTCTGAACCCGCTCGATCCCCCCTACGATTGATTATATAAATCCTGCACTACCCTAAGGATCCTAAACTATGAGAAATATTAATTATGGTATATTCCTTATTATGGGTAATGCAGGATTTATATCATCAACCGTGTATGGAGGCTAAGAGACGGGCATTCTTCCGGGATTCCATTCTTGGGATCCTCTGCACAGCAGTTTGGAGTCTGCGCTCCTGACCCGGTTTTCGAGCCTGAATGACTAGAGTAGGGTTCAGGGTTTGGGGGATCCTACGGCCTATTAGTTAGAAGGGGCCCCCACCCTGTAATAGTGGTAAAATAGGAATATACGTGGGCCCTAATATAATCCTTATAGTCACTATTACAGGGTGGGGGCCCCTTCTGACCTATTAGTATCTATGCCAAGGAACCTCATGGGCATGGGATTCGAAGGTTGATTGTGCTGCGCGGATCATGAGGAACCCCCCAAAGGAAAGGTGTTGGTGATTACTGGGAGGATCATGGGACTAGTAAGAAAGATTATAAGTAGGTTACACTTAGGATAAACCGACTTGTGGGACTTATAACCCTAGTTATAACCTCCTTACTAAGTCCCATGATCCTTTGAGTAATCAGGCTTCTGACCCATGCGCAAGAAGGGCGTCTACCAAATTCCTGAGTCACATAGTTCGACAGTCCCTGAAGTTCTGGGTTTGGGGTTCAGGAAAAATAAGAAAACTCTACAAGGCCAGTTGTAGTCAGGAACCCTGAGGAATAATTACTATTACTAACTGTTCAGGCTTCTACTATTTTCTCTAAACCCTGCAAGCGAAGACCTAGATCAAGCCCAGTCCTCTTAACCCGCCCTTTGCCTGGAATCGAATACGGGCTTGAAGTTGATAAGAAACGGCACCTTTCTGCCCAAACCGAGAATATATCTTAGTTCCCACCGCGGGGTTTGGCAAGGGCTTTCATGGGCGCTCAGAAATTTCAAAAGCATGCGTTTTGAGCTTTTTTTGCCGCTGAAAAAACATCGCGCGTTTGAACTTTTTAGGCTGGGGCAGGAGGGGCTGGAAGCTTGCGGGCCTGAAAGCTGGCTTTGGCAAGCCCGGGGCAGGGCTGGGGCACTCCAAAACTTCAACCGCGCGATCTTTGAGCTTTTCGCGGGCTGAAAACGCAAAAAATCGCGCGTTAACAAGAGCCAGACATCCTTCGACCGAACTCCTGAACCCTAACCCTAACCCTAAACCCGATGTATGTCTCGTAAGAGACCGGCGCACCTTCGGAGAAAGTGCCACTGCATCTTACAAAAACTTTAAACCCTAAACCTTAAACCCCAACCCTAAACCCTAAACCTCAACCCTAAACCCTAAATGCTAATTAAACCTTAAGCCCCCAACCCTAAACCTAAACCCCAACCCTAAACCCTAAACCTCAACCCAGAATCAGAGCTCCTCAACCCCAGGCATGTCAGATCACCTGGCGCTGGTGGAGCAGAAGCTCAGCGACTCCCTCCGCGTGGCCGCCGTGAGCGCAGACTTCGAGGTCGGGAGACCTCGGGGGTTCAGGGGGTTATACGGCTGATGACATAAATCCTGCATTACCCATAACAAGGAATATGTGGGAATTATTGTATATTCCTTATTATGGGTCATGCAGGATCTATATCATCAACAGTAGTTAGTTGTAATTATCTATACTTACCTCATTTACAACCCTAGCTACTATGTCCCATCATCCTGCAAGTAGACCGTCACTCTGCTGCAGTGCTGCAAAAAAATGAGCGCCTTGGGCTTCAACTGATACATGTCACGACAATCAAACCTTTGACAGCTCAAATTCGAACCTTCAGCTTGAAGTTCTGAGTGCGCTGGCCCTAAACCCTAAACCCCTAAACCTTAAACTCTGAAGGAGCGGAGGTTGGCTAGTTTTGTGTTTAGGGCTTCATAGAGACTACCCAAAGGCCCCAGAGGAGTTCCTTTTTGGGGGGTCGTGCATAGAATGCTATAATAAGGTAATCCCAAAAAGGAACTACTATGTGGCCTTTGACTAGTTTGGGTTAACAGAAAAGCAACTTCTGGTGCAGGCGGAACGCTACGAGGACGCACAGGGTGCTGGGAGAGAGCTGAGGGTAGGAGATCTTCGTCTTTGAGTTTAGAGTTTAGGGTTTCAGAGGGGTTACTTAGGATCATGGGACTGAGTAAAAGTAGGTTATAATTAGGGTTATGAGTCCCCTCACTGGGGTTATCCTACTTATAACCTACTTACAACCATACTTACTAAGTCCCATGATCCTGTGTAGGGTTTCAGAGGGTTTAAGGGGTTCAGGATTTATGGGTCTAGCTCTACCAGATCCCGCAGGGACTTTCCAAGACCCCTGCGGGTCGCCAAAAGTCAGAACGGGCGGCTTGGGTCGGGGGATTCACGAAGCAGGTGCGATAAAGAGTTATAATTATTCCAACCCACATAGAACCCAGAGAGCCCAATACCCCTTAATTGAGGAATATAGCTGAAATCATGATATGAAGCCCCTTGTAATTTAAGGTATATTGCTTAATGAAGGCTCTCTGGGAACTCTACCCCCCCCCCCAGGAGATTCTGAGAGCTTACAGCTTGCTCACGGCGGACAGAGCCTCGCGGCTTCCGAAAGTCCCGAGACCTTCCCTTGCCTTGGAGGATCAGGTGTAGGGCCCCAGAGACTCCAATATCCCTTTTTTGAGGAATGTACCTTAAAATATAGTAGGATCCCTATATGATTTAAGGTCTATTCCTTAATTAAGGGATATTGGAGTCTATGGGGGTTGATGCTTTCCAGGACCCTCCTTGTACCCTCAAACAGGGGTATATGGTCCCAAATAAGGGGCATTTAGGCTCTAATAGAGGGTAGATGGAGGGTCTTTTCGGGTTCAGGTTTCGAGTTTACGGTTTAAGGGCTAGAGCCCGTATTATTGTTGGTAAGCGACACAGAGCCCTTCAAAAGGAGCCGTTTAAAGGGAATCCAATTACAACGATTCAGGTCTTAGAGGATCTGGGGGAGTGGAGTTTAGGGTTTAGGGAAACCATAGGGCTTTGAGGGTTTTTGGGATTTGCCGGCTTCGACCCTAAACCCTAAACCTCTAAACCAGTGCCTTTGAGCGTTTTCGGGATCCGCTTACGAGATCTCTATGGGCCCCATGAGCCTCGGGGAGGATTCAGAGACTGCGAGCTTCAGGGCTCTATGAGTTTCTAGGGAGGTTCATGGGTAGTTATAAGGGTTCCTTTTAGGGTTCCTTACAGGGATCTACAGGGATTCTATAAGGGTATTAGGCTTAGGGCGACTTTAGTGTTTTAGGAGTAGGCGCCCAGTTCGGGATGCTACACCCGGTTATTTACATGGGTTTTCATGGGGCTGAGAATTTAGGGGTTTAGGGTTTAGGGTTTAAGGGTTTAGGGTTTAGGGCTGCGAAGGGCTGCAATTGAGTGCTTAGGAAAATTGGCAGCCACTTTAGCTTTGTGGATCCTTCCTCTGCCCCGGAAAGTTGTGTTCGTAGCCAGATCTTGCAATACACCACATGTGGTCAATTCTAGAATCTTCGAATATTCAATCTTCCTTGTTTGAAACTCCAGATGTACTGAACTATCTGAGTACTTCGACACATAAATGGGTGGTTGTCAAAATTATGTTCCCTTTTGGGGTCCCTATTATAATACGGCACCTATTATTTAGGGTACCCAAAAAGGTGCCCTAATTTTGACAACCACCCAAATCAAGGAAACCATTGGCGTTTGTTCAGGCCCGTTCCTGGCGCCTACTTCGTAAACCCACAGCCCCGAACACCTCCCCGAAACCCAAAACCCTAAACTCTAAACCCCTAGAAGACATCAAGCCGCCAACCCCTAAACCCTTAAACCCCTAAAACCCTAAACCCCCTAAACCCCCTAAACCCCTAAACCCTAAACCCCTAAGCCCTTAAACCCCCTAAACCCCTAAACCCCTTGAACCCTTAAACCCCTAAAGACCTTGAACCCTTAAACCACTAAACCCCCAAAACCCCGAGAACCCTTAGACCCCTAAACCCCGCCCCTTCGTAGAGGATCACGGGACTTAGTAAGTAGGTCATGATTAGGGTTATAAGCCCCCTAAGTGGGCATATCCTAATTGTATATAACCTACTTATAACCATACTTACTAAGTCCCATGATCCTCTGAGTACTCCCTAAACCCTATAGACCCCTTTAAGGAACCCTATAGAGGCCTTTACGGAGCCTTACTTACTAAGTCCCATGATCCTCTACGTTCTTAGGCGATTTCGGTGGGGAAGGAGCTCTTGCGCCATGTCAGCGAGCCTGGAACTGAGTTTTGGGTGGCTGGAAACCCGGGTTTTTTGGGGGTTTAGGGGATCCTTCAAGGGTTCCTTAAAGGGATCTATAAGGCCGGGCCTTAGGAAAGGGGCAGAGAACCTAATATCCCTGAATTAAGGAATATGCCTTAAATCATATTCGGGACCCTATTATAACTTAAGGTATATTCCTCAATGAAGGGGTATTGGGATCTCTGGGTGGGGATGGCTGGAAACATGGGGGGCTTTGGGCTTAGAGGTTTAGGGTTCAGGGGTTTAGGGCTTTAGGGCTTTGGGGACTTAAGGGTTTAAGGGCTTAGGGGTTTAGGGTTCAGGGGTTTAGGGTTTAGGGGTTTAGGGGTTAGGGGTTTAAGGGTTTAGGGGTCCAGGGGTGGGAACCCAGAGAGCCCAATACCCCTTAACTAAGGAAGATACGTAGGGTATTTTATCAGGGATCTATGCACAATCTGTAGGGTTTAGGGTTTAGGGACTCCAATAGCCCTTAATCAAAGAGTATAGTGTAAGTCATAATGTCTAAACCCTAAACCCTAAACCCTAAACCCTAAACAGCCTTGTAATTCAAGGTATATTGCTTAATTAAGGAGCCTAGGGCTCTCTGGAAATATTAGGCTTTGGGCTGAAGGTTTAGGGTTTAGGAGTGTATGGTTTAGGGGTTTAGGGGTTTAGGTTAGGGGTTTAGGGGTTAGGGTGTAGGATTTCGTCAGCTTTTAGGCGTTTAGAAGTTCTACTTGGACTGAGTGCGCAAGGATGTGAGTACCTCGATCGGAGTTACAGGCATCACCAGGGCGACTTACGTCCCCCCGCTGAGCAAGACCCCTGATCCTTCAAGCAGGGCTTAGCATATTGTGCAATGGGAGCTCTATTACCCTAAGGGTCCAAGTAGTCCTTATTTCCTTATTGACGGTTTTTGGTATCAGAAGAGGCACAAACATCCTATTGCAGGGAGTACGTGGACCCTTAGGGTAAGGCGTTTGCACGGTGTTTAGACGGCTTCTTTAGCACTTGGCCCTGCCTAGTTATCTGACTGGGCACCCAAGTTACCCAGAGAGCCCAATACCGCTTGATGAAGCAATATACCTTGAATGATAAGGGGCTTCATTTTATGTTTAAGCCATATTCCTTAAGTAAGGGGTATCGGGCTCTCTGGGTAGATAGTCGGGTATAGGGTTTAGGGCCCCGTAGAAGCCTGAAAAATTGCGAATACTTTCCTTCACGGTTCCTCATTATACTACTTCTTCTTCCCTAAACCCTAAACCCTAAACCCCTAAACCCTAAACCCTACAACCTTATTCTACCTTTTTCAGGCCCCTCAACCGTAAACCCCAATGTTATGATAGCTGATTTGTCTGCTTTTTTTCCGTAGGTGGGGCCCAGGGTTCCGAAAGTAAAAGCGAGGATTCCGGAGGCTGAGTATCTCAAGGTACTTAGAGGACCATGGGACTTAGTAAGTAGGTTATAATTAGGGGTTTAAGTCCCCTAAGTGGGGTTATCCTAATTATAACCTACTTATAACCGTACTTACTAAGTCGCATGATCCTCTAAGTAGTGGGGTTTGGGCTTTATGAGGGATCTAGGGACCCCTGATTGGCGATCCCGCTTACGGCTTACATATTGGGATCTCACTTAAAGGCTTCATTATGAAGGGATAGGGTTCTATGTATCAGGATCTACCTTACATGGGGGGCCTTCCACATAGGCAGTTTGGAGCCTCTAGGTCTGCTCTAACTCTTCCTATACTTGGCCTTGTCTGCAAGGCCCCAAACCCTAAGTTCTCAGGTCTCCTGACTTTCCTTACGGGTTGAAGGGCTTAGGCCTGTGGCTTCTAGGGTCTCTACCCAAAGGCCCCAAAGTAGTTCCTTTTTGGGGTTCGTATATAGAATCCTACAAGTTAATCTAAAAAAGGAACTACTTTGGGGCCTCTGGGTAGGGAGTTAGGTATCGATGTCCACTGCTTTGTCGATGCTGCGAAAATTGAGGGACATCGTGGGCAAGTCGCATTGGCTTCGGTACGTTGAGGAGTGGTAAACGCTGGTGCCGAGGACTTGAAAAAGTACAGCTGACGGACAAGCATCGTTGCATCGTACTAATGTCTTCATAGCATAGTGCCTGCATGTTAGGGTACTTGTTGAGGGAAGTGAAGCATTTCCTGTTCTGCCAGCCATTTGCAATGTCGATTGAAGTTACAGTCGGGCTGCTCAGCGGCAAGACAACCACTGTCCAAGCCCACTTGGATGAAGAAGTGGGAATGCTGAAACGTCGGGCGCAGACCGCCCTCGGAGTTGGACGAGGCCGGCTCGTGGACTCATCCGGAACCGTTCTGGATGCAAACGCACCGATCGAGCATACTAGCCTGCAAGATGGTGATTTTCTGACCTTGCACATCAAAAGTGTTGAAGTTCAAGCTGCTTGGAGCTCTTTTGCTGTCATATTCGGGGATGGAACCGTCGTGACCTGTGGTGCTCTTCAAGATGGTAGTGACATCAGTGCTGTGCAGGATCAGCTGAGAAATGTGCAGCAGATCCAGGCCCTCGCAGGCGATTTTGGCAGTGCCTTTGCTGCCATTCTCGGGGATGGCTCTGTCGTGACCTGGGGTGCTGATGAGTACGGTGGTGACAGTACCGCTGTGCAGCATCACCTGAAGAATGTGCAGCGGATCCAAGCTTCTTGCGGTGCCTTTGCTGCCATTCTTGGTGATGGATCGGTTGTAACCTGGGGTCATGCTGATTTTGGTGGTGACAGTCGTGCGGTGCAGGACCAGCTGAAGCAGGTGCAGCAGATCCAAGCATCTGAAGGTGCTTTTGCTGCCGTTCTTCGCGATGGCTCTGTCGTGACCTGGGGTCAATCTGAGCTTGGCGGCGACAGTCGTGTTGTGCAGGACCGACTGAAGAACGTGCAGCAGATCCAAGCCAATTCCGGTGCTTTTGCTGCCATTCTCGCGGATGAGACCGTCGTGACGTGGGGCGATGATCAGTCGGGTGGTGACAGCAGTGCTGTGCAGGACCGGCTCAGGAATGTGAAGCAGATCCAAGCCTCTCACGGCGCCTTCGCTGCCATTCTTGGTCATGGGTCTGTTGTGGCCTGGGGTGCCGATCAACAGGGTGGTGACAGTAGTGCCGTGCAGGAGCAACTGACGAATGTACAGCAGATCCAAGCCTCTGACGCTGCTTTTGCTGCAATTCTTGTCGATGGTTCCGTCGTCACATGGGGTGATGCTAATTTTGGTGGTGACAGCAGTGCTGTGCAGGATCAGCTGACGAATGCGAAGCAGATCCAAGCCTTAAGAAACCCCTTTTGCGGTGCATTTGCTGCCATTCTCGGTCACGGATCTGTCGTGACGTGGGGTAATCACAGCAGTGCCGTGCTGCACCAGTTGAAGAATGTGCGGCAGATCCAAGCATCGGAAGGTGCTTTTGCTGCCATTCTAGCAGATGAAACCGTCGTGACATGGGGTAATGTTGAGACTGGTGGTGACAGCAGTGCTGTGCAGGGCCAGCTTAGGAATGTGCAACAGATCCATGCCTCTTGCACTGGCTTTGCTGCCATTCGTAGCGATGGATCCGTCGTCATCTGGGGTGAGGGTGGCACTAGAGTGCTACCGGCTCAAGAGTTTCTGCAGATCCGAGCCAATAACTAATCAGCCTTTGCCGCCCTTCTTGCGATTGCGTGCCGACAGGAGACAGTCGGGCAAGTGCAAAGCGCTCAGATCGTGCTTAAACGGCTTAACAAAACAGTGGTTTAGGAGTTTAGGGTTTAAGGTGCAGGGTTTAAGGTGCAGGGTTTAGGGTTGAGCCGCTGTCAATCTGCGCACGCAATCCAGATTTCAGACCTAAGGCTCTATGCAACAAATTGTGCAGCATTCTCTTGTGAAAAACTTACCAATCTGCTTGAGCCTCCAATCGAAGTAACAGGTCTAGCCACATTCCCGCAGCTTTGAGGTGCATCGTGGCTGTGTCCAGGCAGTGCATGGTCTCCACCTCAGTCGCACCAGGCAGTACTTTCGTTTGCTTAGGAACTTGTTTCTGTAATAAAACTCCTGGAGGTTATGCAGACATAATTTTGTTTTAGTAGGAGTTCGAATGAATAGGGTTCCTTTCAAGAGTCTGCGTGGGTTCGATGAGTGCTACTATTATAAGGCTGCAGGCATGCCGGGGACGATAACGGGAGCCAACACCGGGGTCGGGAGACTTAGAAAAATCGTTAGAAAAAAGCGTATCATGCTTAAAACATGATATGTACCTCTAAACTAGCAACATTCTACCCTAAGCTCTAAACCCTAAACCCTAAACCGTAACCACCATTCTTGTGTCCCGGTCCCAGGAAACCCAGGACCCGCGGACGTCGGGAACAGCTTCAGGGGGTGTTTATACTGTGTTACAGGGTGCTATCCGGTTTTACAGCGCTTCATGCTTTTACTATCAATACTAAGGACTACAAGGCGACATTCATTCCACCCCAGAAGTCAACTTTACGGTTTTTTCCACCAATAATACAAACACTAATAATCATAGTGGTTAAAAGAACAATTGTAAGAGTAATAATAATGAGAGCAAGAATAGTAGAAATAACAACGATCATCGTAACAATATCCCCCCAAGCCCCATGCTAAACCCTAAACCCTAAACCCATGTCCCAGTTGGCCTTCTCGTCCGTGCCGCCTCATGAATCCCCAGCCGACCGGGCCTCAAGTGCTTTTGGAAAAGCTTTGCTGGCTCACGGTTTAGGCTTTGGGGTTTCGGGTTTAGGGTTTAGGGGTTTAGGGGTTTTGGGGATTTGGGGATTTGGGGATTAGGGGTTTGGGTTTAGGGGTTTTGGGGATTAGGGGTTTGGGTTTTGGAGGTTTGGAGGTTTACGGTTTGGGGTTTAGGTTTTGGGGTTGGGGGAATCGGTATAGAGGTTGGTTTCCGCATAGAGCCTAGCATTATTGCAAGACCTCATTTCACCCCCAACTTGCAACCCTAAACCCTATGCCAGCTGCTGTAGAAGCTTAAATAGGTACCAATGCTATGCCTTACGGGTTCATTGTTTTGACTTTACTATGAAGGAGCCCCCCAGAGATCCCAATACCCCTTAATTAAGGAATACACCGTAAATTATAGTAGGGTCCCTAATATGATTTAAGGCATATTCCTTGATGAGGAGATATTGGGTTCTCTGGGTAAGTGCAGATGCCCTACAGTCGAGAAGCATGTTTGAGGGCTTGCCCGCCTGGAACTTCAAAGGCGTAGAGTGTAGCACAAGGATCAGTAGACTTAGTAAGTGGAGTGAGGAGTTTTGTGGTTCTTCAAGGGGTTTAAGGGTTGTTTTGTGAAGCCCAGAAAGTTGGGACCTGGATTTAGGATGATTAGTGCAAGGATCCTCTATATACTGTTACCTGAAAGGTATGAGGACACTTGGGTTCCAACTTTCTGGCTTCTACTATAGGGTATCTGTACATACCCAAAGAACCCAATATCCCTTAACTAAGGAATATGCCTTAAATCATATTAGGGACCCGATTACAAGTTAAGGCAATTTGAGGTATATCCCTGAATTAAGGGGTATTTGGCATCTCCGGGGCTTTAAACCCAAATGACCCTTGTAAGTAGGGGCCCTATATACCCTTATGCTAAAAATCCCTACAAGGTATATGAACCTTAAAGCCTTTTGAGGTGCATTTCGTCCTTAAGGTATAGGGTATCTGTACTTATGTCCAGAAAGGGCGGCTTAACATTTTCAGAGTTCCAGTTTGCTCGGAGTCCGTGGGCGGTTCAAGAAAGCCCCGAAGCCGAAGCCTTCTTTGTGAGGATTTTTTGGGGTTTAGGGTTTAAGGAGGGTTTAAACCCTAAACCCTAAACCCTAAACCCTAGAAATTTTACCAAACCCAAAGCTTCGAAGCGGAAAGGCTGAAACACATCCCGCGGACGATGAAGCTTTCGAGTTGTTTGAGCCCATGGACAGGGCCCGAAATCCCCGAAACCCTACAGGGAGCTCCAGAAATAGTTGGAATATGGTTTCAGGTTCGGATATCCTATAATTTACCATAAAGGGTTTAGGATAATCATATTCCAACTTTTTTACTGTACACCCTCAGCGCTGAAGCCCTTGAGGCTCATCCCCTCACACCGCGAACTCCACCTACCACCGCAAAGCCTTGGAACCCCTGAGCTTTTGAAACCCTCAGGCGCTAAAAGGGCTTAGGGTTTAGGGAACCCGAAACCGCAGCCTAAACACACACACAACACCAAAGCCTCAAGCCCTGAACCCCAGGAGACATCACCCCCCATCGACAAACAGAACATCAACAGCAGCGCCATGAATCCTCAAGTCTCAAAATGGCAGAAAGCCCTAAACACAAAACACTAAACCCTAAATTCAATCTCGAAACTCTGAACCCCAAAATTTACCCTTAAACCCGGAACTAAATCCTGAACCCCTGTTTCTAAGAAGCTCCAAACCCATAGAGTCCTGAGCTTTCCAGGACTGGCACCGTAAAGCACAGCTCCGAGATCTTTGCCGCAGCATGGCCTGCGCCTGATACTTCTTACGGTGACTGCTATGAATATCCAATATGAATATATGAATGCAATGGGCATTATTCACCTGAATATGAATATTCACAAGTATGAACAAGTATCTGGATATTATATTGAGTATGGTTATTACTATTGTTGGCATGATTATGATCATGGTTCACGGTCTGTACCGGCTTGTTGGTTAAGGGGCTTAGGGTTTGGGGGGGTAAGGGTTTAGCGGCTTGGGGTTTAATTAGGGTTTCGGTCCAGGTATAGCATGTAAGATAAGACTGCTTGCATACGATATGTATATATATATATATATATATAGCCTGAAGAGATTAGAAATGATGTTGATCATTCTCAGAAGGATATTCATACTGGCACTAATCTGCTGGCAAAACTCGTATATCCACATACACATGTGCTTACCCAGAGAACCCAATATCCCTTACTGTAATTAAGGAATATGCCTCAAATCATATTAGGGACCCTATTATAGTTTAAGGTATATTCCTTACTCAAGGGGTATTGTGATCTCTGGGTACATACAGATGTGCAGACATACGCACATGCGACAGTCCAAGGGTAAAAGGAGGGACCCTTAATGAGGACCCCTAGGTATATACCTTTAATATAGCCATTATATACCCATTACATAGCCCATTATGGGGTAGGGGTGCTTTTCCTTTTTGAGACAGTGCAGTGCAGCGCTGCAAGCTCCGAAATCCACAGCCGCGTGGAGGCCAGCAGACGTCGGATAAGGAAATGGGACTTTCCAGAAAGTTAGGGGTACCTTAATTTTTGGGGGTCCTTATAATAAGGATCCTATTTAGGGTACTATATTAAGGCCCCCTATTTTCGGAAACCTCCATTAAATTCCGAGCTCCCAAACCTTTCGACCCGGAGCCACTACACCGAAAACCCTTAAAGCCATAAAGCTCTAAACACCAAAACCCTACCCAGAGAGCCCAATACCCCTTAGTTAAGGAATATAGCTTCGATCATAATATGAAGCCCCTGATAATTTAAGGTATATTGCTTAATTAAGGGGTATTGGGCTCTCTGGGTAAAACCTCTTGATTGAAGACCCCTAAAACCCGGGACTTAGTAAGTAGGTAGTAAGTAGACTTATAAGTACCCTAAAAGGGACCCTAATTGGGGTTATGTAAGTCCTTAAAGTAACCAGTTACTAAGTCCCCTGACCCTCCTAGTAAAACCCTACGGAACCAAGCAGATGCGTCTCAGGATCCGAGCCACGTTGTTGCATGCACGGCGCAGCTCTACGAGCACTTGTGCAATTTCCTGTGCGCTGCAAGTCCCCAGCAAGACAAGGGCCTAAATAATTTGAGTGGTGTTCCTGAAAAGGGTTCTTATAAAGGGTCTATAATGGTTACTAGAAGACCCACTATAAGGAATCCATCACATAGGGGCCTTTTCTTGAAGACTCAACAACTCAGATTCATGCTGGAACGGGCGGTGCTCGTCCACTCTTTTCTACCTATACTCTTTTGCTGGATGGGCGGGCTTAATAATCAGAATAGGGTCTTGGGGCCCATTAATACTATATTTATAAGAAGGGCCCTGCCCCAAGAGCCCATTCTGATTATTAAGGCCCGTATATTAGGGCTGTAGCACTCTAAGCTATCCGGTTTCGGCATGAGGCCTTCAGCTGCGTGCTCCTCAAGAAACAGGTTTCAGTTCGATTACTATAACTTACCCTAGGCTTCCAAGGGCCTTATAGTTAGGGCGCTAGACCAATAATAAGGTCCCTGGAAGCCTAGGGTTAACAACCCACGGTATTATTGAAAGTTGCATTTTTCATTATGGGCGCGTCAGGATGGGACTGGAGTTGCTTCTTACGTTCGGAATTCAGGTTCGCAGCGTCTGCCGACCAGGGCAGTGGAACTGAGCAGCGGGGTAGGGATGCTGGATCCCAACTCCTCAAGCCACCCTCAACCTTTGTCGAACATTCTACAATTCTTATGGGTCCTTGAACCCAAGAAGGAATAAGCATGTGCAGTTTTAATGCTATCCCGACCATGAACCCGAAACCCTATAAACCCTAAGCCCCCCAAAGCCTTGTAGGCCCTATAAACCCTAAGCCTCAGAGACCCTGAAGCCCTAAAGGCTCATGGGACTTAGTAAGTAGGGCTCCTTAAAGGCATCTATAGGGTTCCTTAAAGGGGTCTATAGGGTTTAGGGAGTACTTAAAGGCTCATGGAACTTAGTAGGGTTATAAGTAGGTTATATAGTCAGGATAACCACACTTAGGAGACTTAAAACCCCAACTATAACCTACTTACTAAGTCCCATGACCCCCTAAACCCTAAACCTTTAAAGGGAGCCCTATTATGGAAACCTTACAGTACCCTTAAGATTGAAAGGGAACCCTAAACCTTACTAAGTCCCATGATGGGCTCAGGGTGTAGGGTTTAGGATTTAAGGGTTTAGGGTTTAGAGGTTTAGGAGTGGCAGCTTCGCTGGGTTCGCTCTGAGTTACCATGATAGGAATCTATAGTGAAGACAATGGCTTCCTTTTGCTCGGTTTTTGCAGTAAAGCCCCAAACAAGAACCCACCGAAGGATTCAGATTAAGGAGAGTCGGGCGCTGAGCACATTGACTCTTGGGCCTTGGGTTCTCGGGTGGTTTTCAGTAGGAATAAGATGATCACTAGAAGAGATGTAATGATAGTTGTCTAGTTTCTGGAGCTGTGCTGCTTCGGGACAGGTACAGACACCAGTTCCTCTACGCCTGGCATTCGATCCGCAGCGAGGCCAGCTATCGAAATACTACTGGGTTTAGGGTTTGGGGCCCCTTACGGGGTTTGGTCAAAACAAGTGTCTATGATTTACAGCAAACGAGCGTCACACAGCTTAGGCAGGATTTTGCATGCCCGAACCTTCGCGGACTTGGCTATCGTCCCCGGCATACCAGGACCTCCAAGCGCCCTATAATAGAAGGGCTTATGGTCCCGAATAATGACAACGAAGCTCCATGACTCCAACTCCCAAGTGCATGCCAAGACCTTAACGGCAGAAAGGACAGAGAATCCTGATTAGACTAGGATTGACTTCTTTGTAAAATGAGAGTAGCCAACAGCAGCAGAACCGTCGTCATGAAACGCCTGAGCACCAGTTCCCGCTGTTTGTTTGGGTTCAGGGTTTAGGGTCCCTAAGCCCGACCCGAAGCCACAAACCCTGAACCCCCAACCCTAAACAAACTATTTATATAATCGAATACAAAAGTGATAACATTCACCAACACCTGGTTTTCTAGGCCGCTATATCCGAAGTAGGGGACCCCAATAGAGTACCCGAAATCGTAGGATCCTAATTATAAGGGCCCCAAGGAAACTCTAAACCCTAAAAACCCCTTATAGAAGTCTTATAGATCCCTTTAAGGAACCCTTGAAGGATCCCTTTAAAGGACCCCCTAATTTTCGGAAACTCCCATATTGAGCCTTGAAACTTTAAGCAAACCTGAATCACGCAAAACCTCTCACAGCCCGAGCCCCTGAAAGCCTTAGAATGCCTTGAAAATCGGAAAAAGTGGGCGAAGTCCCCTAAACCTTAAAATTCCAAAAATCTTGAGACTTCCTTTGATAGGAAGTTTACCCTAAACCCCTAAACCCTAAGGAAAAGTGGGCGAAATTGTCTGGAAGTTTTGGGTCTCTCTCCAGGCTGCGGAGGCCGAGAACGCACCTGGCGAAGGACCTTTTCGAGAGGCGAGTTTGGGGTTTAGGGTTCGGGCGTTTAGGGGGGGGGGGCTCAGGGGTTCAAGGTTTAGAGTTCAGGGGTTTAGGGTTCTAAGAGGGTTTTGGGGCCCATTATACTATACTTATAAAGCTTTAGAGTTTAGGGGTTTAGGGTTCAGGGGTCAAGGGCCTCGGGGTTTAGGGTTCGGGCGTTTAGGGGTTCAGGGCTTTGGGGCTGTAGGGGCTCAGGGGTTCAGGGGGTTCAGGCGTTTAGGGCTTTGAGGGGTTGAGGAGTTTAGCGGTTTAGGAGTTTGAGGCGCCCGATTCACAAGCTTTACCTTAACCCGGAATAACCCACCATTTTAAGGACTTATATAAGGAAATCGTAATAAGGAACCCTAAAAAGGTAGGTTATTCAGGGTTAAGGTATGCTGGGTTAGAATTTAGGACTCCGGGCTTTTAGGCTTCTAGGGTCGGTTGGGGTGACGGCAGGCCATGTGCTTGAGCTGGAAGGATCTTAACTTAAAGACGTACTTGGAGGATCATGGGACTTAGTAATTAAGGTTATAACGTTTATAAACATGGTAACTGTAGTTATAACTAGTCATAACTCCAATTAAGGTGCTTATAACCTTACTTACCAAGTCCCATGATCCTCTAAGTTGACCCTAAACCCTACACCCTGCATATAGATCCCTTTAAGGAACCCTACAGCTCCCTGTAAGAAGCCAGATCCCTGCTTCAAGCGTCATTTCCGGGCCCAGGTTCATGAGCTAAAGGCCGACCCTATGCTGCAAATGAAAGCCTAAACCTCTACGCACCCTAAAATCCAAAGCTCCAGCCCTTAAGCCCTATAAAACCCTAATGAAACCCTAAAGCCTAAACGTCTTTGAACCCTAAACCCTTATGAACCCTTAGCCCTAAGTCGGAAAACCTGGAAGCCGCAGCCCCAAACTCCCACCAGACCCTGGGAGCTCCCCGTAATTTGGCAGTGTAGCAGGTAGTTCCTTTATGTAAGGGATCTATAAGGGTACCTTTAAGGGGTTCCTTTGAGGGATCTATAGGATTTTAGGGCTTAGCCTTTATAGTAGAAGCCAGAAAGTTGGAACATCATTAGCCTCATGCCCTTAAAGCAAAGTATAGGGAATCCTAGCACAGATCCTCCTAAATCCATGTTCCAACTTTCTGGGGTTCACTATAGTACGTGACCAGTAGAGGACTGCAGAGTAGACTAGAGTGAAGTAGCATCTTGTCTTGCATAGTATGGTACTTAGAGGATCATGGGACTTAGTATGTAGGTTAGAATTGGGGTCATAAGTCCCTTAAGAGGGGTTATCCTAATTATATCCTACTTATAACCTTAATTACTAAGTCCCATGAGCCTTTAAGTATACGACAGTACAGTATACCATAGTAGAGTAGATTATCTGAATGGTAGTCCTCTCCTTCGGACAGCTCCTCCGCAACGTCCTCACAGAGTTGGCGAACTCCAAGCGGAATGTCTGGCAGAGTCTCCAACAGCAGGCCGGGGCCTTTTGTGATGGGAAGAGGGCTCGATAAAACTAGAGTAGTAGGGGTTCTGCACGCGATTAAGCCCTGCAGCGTTAGGCTTTAGTGAGGGAATTTGGGGGGTTTCGGGTTTAGGGGTTTGAGGGGTTTAGGGTTCTACCTCAGCCCAGAGAACCCAATATCCCTTAATAAAGGAATATGCCTTAAACCATATTAGGGACCCTATCATAATTTAAGGTATATTCCTTAATTAAGGGGTATTGGGATCTCTGGGTCTATAAACCTATAGTATGGGGTCTGCACGCGATTAAGCCCTGCAGCGACGGAAAAGCTCAGCATATCTCGAAGCCTGCTTTGTTTAGGGTCTATACGATCCTACCATAAAATCGAATAACGGTTAAGTGTCTCTGGCCAAGGACGTCAGCATCTCGGGTAAGGCCCCCTCAAACATTTAGCACAATGGGGTTCCCTCTACAACCTATTTAGGGTTTAGGGTTCCTGTTTCGGGTTCCCTACCCTAAAACTTGAACCCTAAGTGCAACCCTTGACCCAAACCTCGGCCAGGTGTCCCTGGTTTTGATGACCCTGGACTTCCAGCACGCCCTGGGGCGAAAGGGGTTTAGGGTTCAGGGGCTTATCGGTTTATGTTTTCAGGATTCAGGGTTTTGGGGGGGTTTTGGAGTCGTTTAGCATGTGTGTTTCTTGGCATGTAATCTAAGGCTCAGGGCTTGTACTGTATGGTATCGAAGACACGCAACCGTCGTCCCCACGCACGGACATTCCGTCTACTGCTGTGCTGCTTAGGCATCAGCCTCCGCTCAACAGTGATACAGGGGCTCTCAGGAATCCGCAGCATTTTAGCTTCGGGTTCCCGAATATGCTTTTAGCCTAAAAGGCCCAACACTCTAGCCCAATTCGCGAGCGCCAGGGTGAATTAGTCTGCGCCTGGTTATTCCACCCAATGCCTGCATGCCTTGAAAGCAGCTGCACGAAGCAGAACCTTAACAACCCTAAACCATCCGAAACCCCAAAGCCTAAACCCAAAAGCCCCAAGCCCCCCTAAACCCCTAAACCCTAAACCCCTACACCCTGAGCCCTAGTGAAAGGACCCCAGGTTGAGAAGTCTCGGTTTTGGCTTCTACTAAAGCCTAGACCCAAAAGGTTCTGCTTTAGGGTTCAGAGTTTAATTTGAAACGCTGCGCGTCGTCCGCCTCGGCCCGGCTGTACGCGCATGCGGCGAGTGGCTACTATCTGCAGCAAGCTCTTGTAGGAATTCAGGTTTGAAACTCGCTTGGTACTGCAGCCTTAAAGGCGAGCCCCAACACATAAAGATGCTACATTGCAGTCCCGTGTCGTCGAAAACTCCTGAAAGCTCGCACCTGTCAGCGAGCGGAGGAGGGGCGGGAGGGAAGGGGGGGGAGGGGGGGGGGGTAGATCCGAATAGGAACCTCTGACCGCTTCGGCCGGGGCTTAAGGCTCAGAGGGTTCGTAGAGTCGTCATAGTATAGACAGGGTTTAGGCTCTGGTCCTTCATATGGGTGGTTGTCAAACTTAGGGTCCCTTTTTGGGTACCGTATAAATATCAGGTGCCGTACTATATTAGGGACTCCAAAAGGCACCATAATTTTGACAACCACCCATATCCGTCTTGTGCCCCGGCCAGGGTGTGAGAGAACCGGATGACTGCTAATCGGGAGCTTCCTCTGCTATGGCTCCCACAGCTATTCTTACGGTGTGTTACTATTCTTGCGACACTGTTGTTCTTATTATCATTACTAACCACTATGACTGCATACAGCTATTCTTACGATGTTTTACTATTATTGCGACATTGTTGTTGTTATTGTCATTACCACTATTTCTACTTTGTTGTACTGTTCATGATAGTGTCATCTGTACTGTTATGGCTTTAAGAGTGTTTTTGCACTTGCTAATTATCAAAATGACCAGCATCATCATGGTCATTATTATTTGTGATTGTTACGATTACTATTTACTATTACTATTGCTAGTAAGCTGCTAGTACTATTACTAGTACTATTAGTATCACCATTAGTATTACTATTAGCATTACAATTACCGTTACTATTGCTGTCAATGTTATGAGTATGATTGTATTCTGAGTGTTGCTAATGTCATCACAACCATCACTGTGATTGTAGCAGTCGCCGCTGCCATGGTTATATGGGAGTTTCCGACAATAGGGAACCCTAATATAGTACCCTAAATAGTAGGATCCTTATTATAAGGACCCCAAAATACGGTACCCCTAATTTTCGGAAGCTCTAAACCCTAAACCTTTATAGAAGCCTTATAGATCCCTTTCAGGAACCCTTTAAAGTAACCCCATCTTTTGTTATTGAAGGTACCCGGCACTAACGGAAGAGAGCTTCATGCACATCCTGCATCTGACGTGGCCTCCGGCATGGTTGCAATTCGGTGGTGGGCATTTCAGCTGCCCTGTATGCATGTCATGTATGTATGTATGTACCTACGTATGTATATGTATGAGTATCTCTCTCTCTCTCTCTCTCTCTATATATATATATATATATATATATATTACATACATGCATACATACATACATATACACATACACACCAGCATATGCGCACGCACACGCACACGCACACACGCACACACGCAAACACGCACACACGCACACACTCACACATGCACACATGCACACACATGCGCACACACACACACGCGCGCGCGCGCACCCACACACACACACACACACACACACAGAGACACACACACACACGCACTGTTCATGCACATTTTCGCGATACCCTAAGCCCTCAGCCGTTATAGTATTGGAGTCTCCAGGCTTATCGAATTCGGATGCCAGGCAGCTACTCGTGGACGAGGGCGATGCTTTCCAGGCTCGGGGCACTGTTCTGGGTTGTTAAGGAGTGTAATTTAAGCAGCTACCAAAAGTTATTCCTTTCAGTGTTCATTAAGGGTTTAGGGTTCCGGAACTTAGCCTAATTTCGTTGCCACAATAGGGTAGGGATCTGTAGTAGTACCTAAACCTCTGTCCTTAAACCCTAAACCCACACCCTATTGCATTCCGCTCCCTACAAAGAACCAGTTGTCGGATCATTGGGGCAGGCGAGGCCAGCATTTCATTGTAGGGGTCGGAATATAACCGTCATACTTCCCGTCATCGTCTGAAAATGTAGATATGGGAGTTTCCGAAAATAGGGGACCCTAGTATTAGCACCCTTAATAGTAGGATCCTTACTATAAGGACCCCAAACTACGGTACCCCTAAGTTTTTTGGTAAACTCTCATATAAAACCTATATCCACGGAATTGTAATTTGGGACTCCATTGGGCGCAGCCAGGATCCAACTGAAAGCTTTCAACCCAACTTGGAGGGTTATGGGACTTAGTAAGGGCTCCTTAAAAGGCTCCTGAAAGGGATCTGTAGGGTTCCTTGAAGGGATCTACAGGGTTAGGGTTTAGGGTCTACTTGGAGGATCATGGGACTTAGTAGTTACAGTTATAGGTACCTGAACTGGGGTTTTAATCCATTATTAGTATAGTTACCTTATTTATGCCTATAGTTACTAAGTCCCAGGAACCACAAAGTAGGCCCCCGCGCCGAAGTGCAACCAACAAGCCGCAAGCCCCCAGAACCCTGTCAAACCTAACCCCAAACCCTGAACCGTACTTAAAGGCTCATGGGACTTAGTAAGTAAGGTTTTAAGTAGGATATGATTAGGACAACCCCACTTAGTCGACTTATAACCCCAATTATAACCTACTTACTAAGTCCCATGATCCTCTAAGTAGGTGCTGAGCATTGCCGAGCCCCAAAGCCTTAAGCCCCGAAGCCCCGTAGCCTTAAACCTCAAAGCCCCATAGCTTTTAACGCTAAAGCCCCCCATAGCCTTAATCCCCAAAGCCCCAAGCCCCAAACGCACACCTTGAACCCTAAACCCTAAGCCCTAAGCCCTAAGCCCTAAAAGGCACCCTAACTGGGAACTACCCAGAGTTCGCCTTTGGTCCAAGCGCCACGTCGCGGCTCCCGAAGAGCCTCGGAACTGGAAGCCAAGGTCTTACTATTAGTAGTTAGTAGTTAGTAGTGATAGTAGTAGTAGTAGTAGTAGCAGCAGCAGCAGTAGTAGTAGTAGCAGCAGCAGCTCAAAGTTTAGGCTTTCTGGTCCATTGTAGAGATGATGTTCTGCGGCTAGGTTGGAATAGCTTGCCGTCTACGGCCGCGGTCACCATCATCTCCGGGATGTCGATTGAAGTTACAGTCGGGCTGCTCAGCGGCAAGACAACCACTGTCCAAGCCCACTTGGATGAAGAAGTGGGAGCTCTCAAACATCGGGCACAGACCGCCCTCGGAGTTGGACGAGGCCGGCTCGTGGGCTCATCCGGAACCGTCTTGGATGCAAAGGCGACGATCAAGTGTGCTGGGCTGGAAGATGGTGATTCTCTAACCTTGCACATCAACAGAGTTCAAGTTCAAGCTGCTTACAGCGATTTCGCTGTCATTCTCGGGGATGGAACCGTTGCGACATGGGGTCACAATCGATGTACTGATGAGAGCAGGAATGTGCAGAAGATCCAAGCCAATGGCAGCGCTTTTGCTGCAATTCTTGACGATGGATCTGTCGTCACCTGGGGTCGTTCTGATTCTGGCGGGGACAGTAGTGCCGTGCAGGACCTCCTGAAGAATGTGCAGCAGATCCAAGCATCTGAAGGTGTGTTTTCCGGTAGGGGTGCTTTTGCTGCCATTCTCGCGGATGAAACCGTCGTGACGTGGGGCAATATTGCGACTGGTGGTGACAGCAGTGCTGTGCAGGACCAGCTCAGGAATGTGAAACAGATCCAAGCCTCGAACACCGCTTTTGCAGCAATTCTTGGCAATGGATATGTCGTCACCTGGGGTCGTGCTGATTCTGGCGGGGACAGTAGAGCCGTCCAGGAGCTACTGAAGACTGTGCAGCAGATCCAATCCAATTCCGGTGCTTTCGCTGCCATTCTCGCGGATGAAACCGTCGTGACATGGGGTAATGTTGAGACTGGTGGTGACACCAGTGCTGTGCAGGACAAGCTCAGGAATGTGCGGCGGATCCAAGCCTCGAACACCGCTTTTGCAGCAATTCTTGCCGATGGATCTGTTGTGACCTGGGGAGATGCTGAGTGTGGTGGTGACAGTAGTGCGGTGCAGGATCAGCTCAAGGATGTGCATCAGATTCAAGCCAATGGCAGCGCTTTTGCTGCAATTCTTGACGATGGATCTGTCGTCACCTGGGGTCGTGCTGATTCTGGCGGGGACAGTAGTGCTGTGCAGGATCAGCTCAATGACGTGCAGCAGATCCAAGCCTCTTCCAGTGCTTTTGCTGCCATTCTTGGCGGCGGATCCGTCGTGACCTGGGGTTGTTTTGTTTCTGGTGGGGACAGTAGTGCCGTGCAGGAGCTACTGAAGACTGTGCAGCAGATCCAAGCCTCCAGGGGTGCCTTTGCTGGAATTCTTGCCGATGGATCTGTTGTGACCTGGGGAGATCTTCAATGTGGTGGTGACAGTAGTGCCGTGCAGGAGCAACTGCAGAATGTGGAGCAGATCCAAGCCTTTAGCGCTGCTTTTGCTGCAATTCGTGCCGATGGATCTGTTGTGATCTGGGGTCGTGAAAGCCCTGGAACACGTGGTGTCGGCACCACAATATTGGCTTAGAGATGTGCGCTTTGGAAGGGTGCCATTGCAGGATCCTTGGAGGAGCCGAAGCCTCAACCAGCGCAGCCCGGAGCACTCATGACACCCTGAGCCTTAAACCCTAAACCCTATCCAGCCCCTAAACCCGATGTTTTCCAGGGGGTTCTACAAGGGCTTCGGACAATCATGTTTTCACTCACTCGATCTTCCCTTTCGCGCGGGCGGTGCAGCCGCACGGCTGTCTTTCCCGCGCCTGACCGTGCCGGGGGGCGGCTTAGCCGAGCCGCAACTTAGGCCGGGGCTTTCTACAGTTGGGTGGGTTTTTATTCCACGTGCCCTTCGAACATACTAGCATACGATAGCTACTTGTAATACAAGACTATAGATAACAATACGAATAGTAACAACAATAAGAGACAGTGTGCGTTTTTCCCACCCACACTGCACATCTGGATCGGCTCTGGAGCCTAGCCACGGACGTTTCAGAGTTAAGAGTCTGGGGGTTCAGACTTCCCAGCATGGTGTAGGGCTTTGGGGCTGCGGTTTTGGGCTATAGTACCCTTAACCCTAAACCCACAAGCCCTAAGCGCTAAACCCTGACTCCTAAATCCTAAAACCTTAAGGCCCGAACCGCCCTTAAACCCTAATACCTTAAATTTAAAACCCTTAACGCTAAACCCCGAAACCCGTTTTCCCTTAAGGCTAAACCCCGAAACCCGTTTTCCCTTAAGGCTAAACCCCGAAACCCGTTTTCCCTTAAGGCTAAACCCCGAAACCCGTTTTCCTGGCTGAGACCCCCTACCCTCGTGGCTTTTGAAGGCCGTTGCCTCGACTCCTCAAGGGCCTCGGAACTTGAATGATAGCCTGATTAAACGGTTTAGGTAGGGTTTAGGGTTTAGGGTTTAGGGTTTAGGGTTTAGGGTTTAGGGTTTAGGGTGATTAATGTAAAGGGAACTCCAGAAAGGTGGAATATGGTTTCATGGTAGGATCCCCTATAGTTTACCTTAAAGGGGTTACGATAATGATATTCCAACTTTCTGGCTTCTACTGTAATGTAGGAGCCTGATTAAGAAACCTTCGGCCTTTATCAGGGTTCTCTATATGAATCCTATGATGTTGGGGGTTATAGGGCCAGGGTTTCTTGATCAGGTTCCTACATTCACCTACACATGGGTGGTTCTCAAAATTAGGGTCTCTTCTTGGGTCCTTAGCAAAATACCGCACCCAATATTTAGGGGACGCCCAAAAAGGACCATAATTTTGACAACCACCCATATGGGAGTTTCCGAAAATAGGGGACTCTAATTCGATCCTTATTATGAGGACAACCAAAAAACGTACCCCGAATTTCGGAAACTCCGATTTTTGTATCTGTACAATATATATTTAGAGAGGGAGTAAGAGCATAGACAGACTGACAGAGACAGACAGAGAGATAGACAGATAGGTATAGGTAGATAGATAGATAGATAGAAAGGTAGGTAGATAAGCATAAAGATGAATAGGTGGATAGATAGATACAGTTAGATAGATGGATAAACATACAGGTGGATAGATTAGATGGATAGATAGACAGATAGATAAAGAACATGATGGGTAGATAGATAGATAGACCGACAAACACAAACGGACAAACCGACAGACAGATAAGAAGATAGGTAGACATCAGATACACAGATAGCAAGCACTAGATACTCTACAGTAGAAGCCAGTAAGTTGGAACATTAGTTTAGGAGGATTAGTGCAAGGATCCCGTATCCTTTACCTTAAGCGCATGATGATACTAATGTTCCAACTTTCTGGCTTCTATTATATGGCTGGTTGTCAATTATGGCCCCTTTTTGGGCACTCTAAATTTTAGGTGCCGTATTATAATCAGGAACCAAAAGGGGATCCTAATTGTGACAACCACCCATATAGGTAAAGCCAAGGCTTTGCTAGGGTCTAAACCCTAAAAACCAAAGCCCGAAACCCCTTGATCGGCTTTGTGTTTGTGTGTCGGTGCTTCGGCTGAACTGGCTTCCGGTTTAAGACCAGGTGTAGGTCCGGAATGCCACGAGTTTAGGATTTGAGGTTTAGGGGTCTTGGGTTTAGGGTTTAGAGTTTGGGGTTTATATGATGTAGGGGGCGGAATATTGTCCATTCCGGCTACGAGGATAAAGCTATAGGGCTGATGTTTTCAAGTTTATCGCTGCGGGTGATTTGCGCAGTCTTGCCCGCAGTGGTTCAATCATTCTCATAGGTTGACTCTTGAAGCAGCACGGCCGAATCGAATACAATAGCATACGATAGCTAGGTGTAATAACAAGACTATAGATAACAATACTAATAGTAACAACAAGAAGACAAAGAACATGTAATTTCAGGACGAAGAACTAAGAAAAAAACTAGTGACAACACCAATAACAATAACAACGATAGCAGTAATAAGACCAATAATGATTCGCCGCACTAATGTGCACCGCCACCACCACGACGACTACTACTACCACTACCTAACCAGGATTTGTCAGAGCTAGTATATAGCCTTTAATACAATTATAGTTATCAAGGACTGTTAAAGCTATAAAGGTCCACTTAACCTTTGGTCTACTATATAGGCCATAGATGGGCTAGTCTATGGCCCATAGAGCAACTATAGTAAGGTTTCTTAAAGCTTTAAGGGTCTTGCTAATCTTTCGGCACCCTGTGGGATGCAGGCAGACTACCAAGGTGCCAACAAAAGCGCGAGCCCCAGGAACCGGGTTGCTTCAGGATCAAGAAGCTCCAAGACCCTTAGACGAACCCGTAGAATTCTCAAAACCTCCTAAAACAAATGAGGGTCCTTATATTATAAGAGATCCTCACCCTTGAGCTCGGCAAGCTATTCCTAGTTTGGCATAGTATCCATTTACATTGCTTTTTCTTGTCAATATATACCACAACGCACCCCCCAAACCTTTACGACAGTATACCCCCGAAAACCCCAGAAGCCCTCAGCCCTAAACCCCACAATCCCCAAAGCCTAAGTAGCAGGACTATGTTTTGAGCCCCAGAGTTGAGGCACCTGAGCCCTAAACCCTAAACCCCCCAAACCCTGATCCCTAAAAACCCTAAACCCTACACCCCTCAACCCTAATCTCGCCGAAACCCTGCACCCTAAACCCTATTTCGCCGAAACCCTCCACCCTAAACCCGAAACTCGCCGAAACCCTACACCCTAAACCCCCTAAACCCTCAACCCTAAACAAGTTTTGATCCCCGGAGTTGAGGCGCCATGAGCAGCGAGAACCGGCGACAGTGGCAGGGCCCTTACGATCCGGAGCTCTTGCCTGGAGAAGAAGGGAGGCTGAGCCAATATTATATTGTATATACATATATTGTATATGATTATTGTTATATATATATATGGATATATGAGTATATGAATATATGAATGTATGAATATATGAATATACGAATATACGAATATAGATATATAAAAGTATGTGTTTGTATGTATATATATATATGTTTGATATGCTGAAATCTCTTTTATAATGCAGTAGATTATAGCACAAAATCAACGTTGGGTCTACGGCTTTAGTGTACGTTTCTTTTTGTTGGGGTGTCGGCGGGTTCCCGAGTCTACTCTTGCTTGGAATGGCGTTGAGGATATAGAGGCCGCAATGATGGGTTTCGGGGTTCCTTACAGTAGAAGCCAACGAGTTAGAAACCCAATAGCCTCGATCCTCAAAGGTAATGTATAGTATAGGGAATCCCGGCACTATTTGGCCTTAATCCGGTTTCCACCTTGATAGGGTTTACTGTTAAAACACCAGCCCCCTGCCCCGGTTTGGGGTATAGGATTCGAATTTGGGGTCGGTTTCGGGTTGAGGGTTTGGGGTTTAGCGGCATTGAAGGTCCATGCGAGTTCCACGACTGCGATTCAGCGATGACTATGGCTTTCTGTTTCCCTCCCCCGATCCTCTCCGGGTCCCGAAATGCCAGTGTTGCGATCTCCCTGACCTCAACAGCTACACAGGATCAGGTAGTGCACGCAAACCCTACACCCGAGCCCTAAGCTATGTAGTTGTTTAGTGGGTCAGGTCCGCGCCAATTCGAAACACGCTGAAGACGAAGGCCTGAACAGGGTCATGTCATGCAAACAAGGGGCTTCAAAAATTGAGGTTGGCTTCTGAGAGGTTACGGCTCTTAAAAGGGATCTGAAGGGTTCTAATTCAAAGTATGATGTGTTATAAGGGTTACCATCAAGGTTGAGTTTAGGGTCCTTCATCCCCAAACCAGTGTCTGGCTGCCCCAGGACCATACGTGCATATTCTTGCAGCTTACTCAGAGTGCCAATAAACGCCATCCACGATGCGCACCCAGAGAGCCCAAATACCCCTTAATTAAGGAATATAGCTTATAATTTGAAGCCCCTTATAGTTTAAGGCATATTCCTCAATTAAGGGGTATTGGGCTCTCTGGGAAACGCCATCCACGATGCGCAAGCCTTCAGACGTGGGAACCTTCCTCCATTCGGCAAGGCTGCAGCATGAAATCACCTCAGATCTGAAGTTCTCTACACGGCAGCTGACTACCCAGAGATCCCTATACCCCTTAATTAAGGAATATGCCTTGAATTATAATGGGATCCCTAAATATGATTTAAGGCATATTCTGTAATTAAGAGATATTGGGCTCTCTGGGTAGGTGACCTTTAACGGCTTGTGGTTTAATAATCCAACGTTAGGGAACTCCAGAAAGTTGGAATATGGAATAATGGTAGGATCCCCTATAGTTTACATTAAAGGGGTTACGATAATGATATTCCAACTTTCTGGCTTCTACTGTAAGACACCTAGCTTCTTTAGCTTCTTTGGGCCAGGGAAGTCAGACGCTCAGTCTTCAGGTCTCCCCTTAGGGGTACTTAGAAATGATTTTTAGTTTTTGGTTATTATAATCCCTTAGGGGTACTTAGACGTGATTTTCAGTTTTTGGTTATTATAATCCCTAAGAAACAGCTAAAAATACAATTGTAATCCCTAAGAAACAGCTAAAGTTACAATTTTTGCTTGGGTTCTAAGTTCAGCATAGTCCCGTGCAATCCAGAATGTCAAGTCAGCTCCCGGGGAGGCTCCCGGGATCATTAGCTTCGTAGCCGAGTAGGTAATCTTTACCCTTCTTGGGTAGTATAGTCCCTATATACTCCCTGTATACACAAAATGGTAGACCTTGAGTTCCCCATGATGCCCGACAAGTAGGTTAGTCTTGCTATTCTGAGGCTTCGTCCTCAGTACCATGATCGTATATGTAGCGCAACATACCACAACGGATCATTAGTAAGACTATTCTGATTCTTCCTTATTATCAATACCGCGCTTAAAGCCCTACAGGGAACTCCAGAAAGTTAGAATATGGTTTCATGGTAGGATACCCTATAATTTACCGTAGAAGAGTTAGGATAATCATATTCCAACTTTCTGGCTTTTACCTTATGACCCTTGGAGAGAGGCCCACGACTACTTCCAGTCCTTGCACTTCAACGCCTGGGCCAAGCTGAAAGCCTCCCACATCGAGCAGGCGAGCTTGAAGCCAAAGCAGCCCGAAGCATTATCCCTAAACCCCAACCCCTGAACCCTAAACCCTGACCTCTAACCCCTAAACCCTACACCCCAACCCCAAACCCTAAACCCTAAACCCCATTCCCTAACCCCTAAATCCGAAACCCTAAACCCTAATCCAGAATCATGACAAGGGTTGCTGCAAGGGCTACCATGAGAGCTACTACAAGGTATGAGGGCTACTGTAAGGGTAGCAGAGCTGCCACTATACGAGGTACTACAAAGAGGGGTGCGACAATTCAGGGCGACTATAATCGGCACTACAAGCTAGAAGTCACGAAAACGACTACGACTTGCCTTGGCCCTAAACCATGACCCCTAAGCCCGAAACCAGAAGCCCTAAACCCCCTGGGAGTTTCCGAAGATTGGGGGTACTCCATTTTGGGGTCCTTATAATAAGGATCCTATTATTTAGGGTTCGAAATCAGGGTCCCCTACTTTCGGAAACACCCCCCTCAAGCACAGGCTCATCCCGGTAGTGAATTCTTGCTCTAACCAGTCGGACAAGAACCCTCAACAAAACAAACTGAAACCAGAACACTAAACCCGAAACCCCGAACCTTGAAACCAGAAACCCTAATCCCGAAGCCCTAAACCCTAGTTTCATTCTTGATGCCATTCTCGCAGTTAGTCTGTTCTAGCCATGGTAAACCCTAAACCCTAAACTTGTGGTGAGGTGGTTGAATCCCAGTGTTGGATACCGCATTGTGTTCCCCTCCCTCAACCGGTACGGTAGTCTGGATGCCATGCGGTGAAAAGACACGAGGGTTCAAAATCAAAGGGTAAAGGAGGGACCCCTAATAAGGACCCCTAGGTATATACCCAAAATATAGCCAGTATGTACCCATTCTATAGCCCATTTTAGGGACCCAGGGGTCCCCATTAGGGGTCCCTCCTTTTCCCCTTTGACAAAAGAAAAGCTTTGGGGCCCTGAGGATGCTTGGCAGCGACTGCCAGTGGCGAGGTGCTTCTGTCTCTCCTGAGTTGCGGATGCGGGGGAGCAGAGATCCTTCAAGGGATCCATATCCATATATATATATATATATATACATATATGGTACCCCCCCCCCCCAGGACCTACCTCCAAACCCGTCGGCCTCCACACAGGATACCATACCCCATCACCTACGCACACACACACACACACACACGCACACACACGCAACATGGACCTGGGTATACGAAGATTAGTGTATGCGAACATGACTATACCAGAGGCCCGGCTGCATTAAAACCCGCATTAAAAAAATAAATTTTAATGCAGCCAGGCCCGTGGAACCAAGAACCAAGATGCCCAGGAGTCTTGAATCTTGGATCTTGGTTCCGCGGGCACCGGCCGGGCTGCATTAAAACCCGCATTAAAAAATTAAATTTTAATGCAGCCAGGCCCGTGGAACCAAGAACCAAGAACCAAGCTGCCCAAGAGTCTTGAATCTTGGATCTTGGTTCCGCGGGCACCGGCCGGGCTGCATTAAAACCCGCATTAAAAAATTAAGTTTTAATGCAGCCAGGCCCGTGGAACCAAGAACCAAGATTCCCAGGAGTCTTGAATCTTGGATCTTGGTTCCGTGGGCACCGGCCGGGCTGCATTAAAACCCGCATTAAAAAATTAAATTTGAATGCAGCCAGGCCCGTGGAACCAAGAACCAAGAACCAAGATGCCCAGGAGTCTTGAATCTTGGATCTTGGTTCCGCGGGCACCGGCCGGGCTGCATTAAAACCCGCATTAAAAAATTAAATTTTAATGCAGCCAGGCCCGTGGAACCAAGAACCAAGAACCAAGATTCCCAGGAGTCTTGAATCTTGGATCTTGGTTCCGTGGGCACCGGCCGGGCTGCATTAAAACCCGCATTAAAAAATTAAATTTTAATGCAGCCAGGCCCGTGGAACCAAGAACCAAGAACCAAGATGCCCAGGAGTCTTGAATCTTGGATCTTGGTTCCGCGGGCACCGGCCGGGCTGCATTAAATCTGCATTAAAAAAATATCAAAATTTTGATGCACCCAGGCCCGTGGAACCAAGATTCAGGATTCAAGACTCCTGGGCATCTTGGTTCTTGGTTCTTGGTTCCACGGGCCTGGCTGCATTAAAGTTTAATTTTTTAATGCAGATTTTAATGCAACCCGGCCGGTGGCCGTGGAACCAAGTTTCAGGATTCAAGACTGATGGGAATCTTGGTTCTTGGTTCTTGGTTCCACGGGCCGGGCTGCATTAAAATTCAATTTTTTAATGCAGATTTTAATGCAACCCGGCCGGTGCCCGTCGAACCAAGATTCAGGATTCAAGACTCGTGGGAAACTTGGTTCTTGGTTCTTGGTTCCACGGGCCGGGCTGCATTAATTTTTTTAATGTTGGTTTTAATGCAGCCAGGTGGCTGGAAACCATGTAAATATTCACGAAACATATCGGTTTGCCTTTTTATGTGCCACATGGCCTGCAAGCTGGATGTTTTGACCCTTGGAGGGGCCCAACTGTAGAAGACAGATGTTTTGAGCTTAGAAAAGGCTAGCCGTGCAAGCTAGATGTTTTGACCCCTTGAGGGGCCCAGCTGTACAAGACAGATGTTTTGAGTAAATACCGCCTCAAAACAACGGCCAGGGATCCGGGCAAAATCTGGCGGAAGTGATCCGCCACCGAGCAAAAAGCCTGTAAACAAAGGGACAGGGAATTCACACATCTGTTGGCAAAACTTAAACGTAGGGCTTTAAGTCCGGGGCGGATCAACTCCCTAAACCGTAAGGCCCTAAACCCCAGGGGCCTCAAACCGCAGAGCCCTAAACCCCGAGGCGCCCTAAACCGTAGGGCCCTAAACCCAAGGGGTCCTAAGCCGTAGAGCCCTAAACCCCAGGCGCCCTAAACCGTAGGGCCCTAAACCTGCAGTGGAGATTGGCGAACGGATTGCTGTGCTTGACAGTTTGATCGCATCTGTACTCCTAACTCCCCCCTATGCTTGTGATCATGTCGGCGCGCCCCTCCCTTGTAAAAATTTAGGGCACCAGGTATTATACAGCCTGTCAATATGCACCTCATAGAATATCTTATAGGATACTTCGTAGACTCCCGTAATAGAATACCCTATAGAATACTTTACAGATAGATGTCAAATATGGAACATCAGTCGGAGCCGAAGATTTGCGAATGTCCAGCTGAGTTGTAGCTTATTGAGTAACGGGTTCCCATGATGGAAACCAGGAACCTACTTGTAAAAGAAGATTTTTAAAGTTCAGTATGGATTAGTGTTTTATCCCGTCCAGAGTTTCATAGAAAATACTCAGGTCGTACCATATACAGTTTATGCAGTATATGCTTTGTATATACCTTATGGACTACCCTGTAACTCATAAAACACCGCATAGAAATCTGTCCTATATATACACCCTATATAGAATACCATCTATACGTTACAGCTTGGGATACCACAAAACCCTACACAAGCCTTTTAGAACACCATCTGGAAAATTTTACAGAATGTCTTATAAGAACCCTATGAATGATACTCCCCTTATACCTTGTATATGCTCTTGAGAATCCCCTTTGGGATATCCGACAGAAACCGTATAGATCAGGATTTACTTAGGGTAAATCAGAAGGAACCCAAGCTTTATGCAGCTTATTGAGCAAAGGACATTTATGAAAGAAATGAGGAATAAAGGAGAACAGCCCGTAGAATACCTTACAGAATACCCTTTCTACAAAAAGGTAAATAAACTCATGTAGAATACGATAGTACCTCATAAAATATTCTATATTCCCTATACACCTTGTACACCCAAGATCTGAGAGTTCCCCAGTTGAATGTGGTTTATTTGGCAACGGATTCATATCAAGGAATTGCGGAATAGAGGATCTAGAAATTCCTTGAAAAATCGATGCTTATTTGGCAAAGGATACATACAGAGAACAAAACTCTTCTGAAGCACATGCTGCACATATCCTATAGAATGCAACTTCTAAACTACCTTATAGCATGTTTTTATACAATTCCACCGATTTGCCCTACATACACATTATAGAATACCATGTGTAATACACTGTAGGATACTTTGAAGAAGAACACCTTTATTTGCTACATCCTGTGTACCTTATGTATGCCATATAGAATACATATACGGTACCATTTAGGATACCGTTTAGAATCCTTTATAGAAAACATTAAAAGGTACCTTATAGGTACGGACTTTAAATATGGAAAGCCAGGCGGAGCCCAAGATCTGAGAATTTCCAGTTGAATTGCAGCTTTTGGGCAATGGATTCCTATGAAGAAATCAGGAACCAAGAAGACCACCCCAACTACCTTATAAAATACGCTCTCTATGCACCTGAATGAATTTCAAATAAAATACACTATAGAATACCTTCCTACGTATAGGCCGCAGAATGCCTTTTTGTACAATACCTTATGGTGCACCCTCTAGAACACCGTATAGAATGACCTATAGAATAACATCCTTACGGAAGACCGCCTATGGAGTATATCCTCAGAATACCTCAAATATCCTCAAATATACCTCCTAGAATATCCTCTAGAATACCTTTTAAGATACTATTTAGAATAACTTTTAGTATGCCCTCTAGATCACGGTTCAAAAAAGGAACATCAGAAATAGCGTAGCATACAGAGGACAGTAGACAATACTTCATGGTATTGTCTTAGTTCGAACAGGGTAATGTCGTCGTAGACAGGGAAGACTACGCAGTATATAACAGTTTTGTTCGGAGTGGAGTCGTGACGTCGTCTAGACAGTACAAGAAGAGGCTTCGAGGTAGGTCCTGGAGGGGGGGGTAGCATACATATATATATATATATATATACATCAAAAGGGATCCTTAAAGGGTTCCTTAAAGGGATCTATAAGGGTTCTATAAAGGGTTCAGGGTTTAGAGTTACATATGGGTAGTTGTCAAGTTAGGGTCCCTCGCTGGGTACCTTAAATATTAGGTGCCGTGTTGTATTAAGGACCCAAAAAGGTACCATAATTTTGACAACCACCCATAAGGGCTTAGGAGTTACAGGTGATAGGGGGTCGAATATTTAGGGGTTAGGAGGTATAGTATCCCCTTACTTGGGGGGCTCCTTTCAGGGGTTTATTGGGTTTGTCGGGGATTTTGGGTATGATTCGACAGAGCTACCAGGAGGCTCCTCGGCCTTCCATTCAAGCCCTCAACAGCCCAGACCTCCCCAACCCCTAATACCTCAGAGGCCTTAATAATTAGAATAGGGTGTGGGGTTTGGGGTTGAGGGTTTGGGGGAATGCATCAATATAAGGGTTTTATTAGGGTTGTGGGGCCCATTAGACTAGAGTCTCTAGATAAGGAAACCCCAAGGTAGTAGAGGCAATCATTTCGGCCCCTATATTAAGCCGACGACTGGCATGAAGACAGGTTGTAGTCCTTTGGTAAACCAGAACCTGTATGGTTCTTGGTAGAGAATGGGGAAGATTATATAGGGACTACTACAGGGATCCATTCCCCCATTCCCTACTAAGCATCAGACAAACCTTTCGTAACCCCGAAATACCTTAAACCCTCAGACCTCATGAGTAAAGTAAAGCCTTATGTACTAGATCTTCTGATTCAGTTCGTCCCGCCTCCAGTATCGCACATGGAGTTTTAAACTGGGCTGGCGTATCAGCCGGAAGCATGTATACGCCGCGAGGACGCCACAAGCATTAAAACATAGAGGCCGGCGCAAGTATCATAGGAGTTCAAAAGGGGTTCTAGCCTATGGAGGTTTAGTAGGGATTAGGGTTCCCATAATAGGGTTCATATTAAGGAATCCCTACCCCAAGAATCATAAACCCCCCTTTTGGCATCCCATCAAAGTAGGGTTTTGGGGGATAGTGCTCTGGATCCGTATCAGGCCACCCTAAGGAAAAGTATCAGCAAGTAAACCCCCACAGTAATGTAGGCGGAGCCTGACTAAGAAACCCTGGGCGATTATTACCCCAGAATACTAGGATACCCCTAAACCCTACACCCTGAACCCCTAAACCCTACACCCCTATAACCCTGAACCCTACACCGTGGGCCCTGCAGTACCACCCTTCGTTGCTTAAGGCCCCCCAAAAGCCCCTCAGCCAGGAACTACAAGCTCCTTCGGGCTGAGCGGCTGAAGCCGGCCCCCTCCCCGGTTAGGTCAGGGTTGAGGGTTTAGGGTTCCTAAATCTTAAATGCTTAGGGTTTAGGATCTTGAATCTTTAAATATAAGGTTGAGGGTTTAGGGTTCCTAAACCCTAAATATTCGGGGTCAGGGTCTTGAATCGTTACATATTGGGTCGAGAGTTTAGGGTTCCTAGACCCTAAATAACTATTAAATGGGTTTAGGGTCTGGGTTTAGGGTGTAGGGTCCCTATAACAACAATCCTGGAAAGCCTAAACCCCAAACCCTGCTGTTTGGGCGGGGGTCAAGTTGGCTAAGGAGTTTTGTAAGGCAAGGGGTGCTTGGGGGCTGCTGGCAGCGGCACATCAGCTCTGACAGCAGGCAGCTTATTCTCCATGATCGGATCACGTACCTCAAAACCCTTTTCTACTTATTAGAGCCCCTGTGCGAAACCTTATGGAAACCCCAGAACCAGAAGAATCCCTACAAGAACCCTCAAATGAATAAGGAATCTGATTCAAATTTCCAAGACCCGTTAATAAATATAAATATATCACTCTAAACCCTAAACTTTAATCCCTAAACCCTAAACTCTTAAACAATTACCTTACCCTGCGGATCAGAATAGCCCGAAAGCCTTATATAGTATGGTTTTTGGGCCCAAAATCCTTAAGACAGGAGTCCTTAGATCTCCAGGGTTAAACCCTTAATTCCATTACCCGCCCACTCCCCGGACGCATGAGGTCCTCCCACGCAGCGCCGCGGCAGAGGCGGGGAAAATCAGCGAAGAGCAGGGGTATTGGGCTCTCTTGGCACTCCTGAAAATACATGTATTGGTGTCCGTATAGTAAGTGTACTTTTCTTAAGGAAAGAATACCTACACCCTAAATCTCTAAACTCTAAACCCCTAAAATCCGTAAGCCCTAGATCCGAAACCCTAAATCCTAAGCCCTAAATCTTAAGCCCTAGATTTAGTGTGCAAAGGGGCTCCCAAAGACTTCGATCGTGCCCAGAATTCTCGGTAGAGAGCTGTTCTGGAGCACGCGACGGGCGTACCCAGGGCATCCGGTGAATCTTCGGGCCCCTTTTTCTCATTATTCAGGGTTTTGGGTTTGAGTATAATATACCCCAAAAAAACCTATTCTAGTTATTTCAAGCCCCTATATTATGACGCGTATGTTGAGAGATACTGCGAGAGCCAGAGATGCAGGCAGTTGTACTGTAATCACAACACTGTGTGTCCATACATATATGCACACACATGTATACATACGTGTGTATATATATATATATACACACGTATGTATTTATAAATAGATACCGATGTAAAAAGTATTTGTGGTATGCCAGAAGGTCAAGGCTGACCGTCCTGAATCCCAGACCTCCCTTCCACACCCCGTCGATGAACCCAGAGGCTCCAAGACCCAATAATGTAGGAATCACTAAGTCCCATGATCCTCGCAGTAAAGCATCTTCATATTCCTACTGTAGGAATATGAAGATGCTTTACTGCGAGGATCATGGGACTTAGTAAGTAAGGTCATAAGTAGGTTATTATTAGGATAACCCCACTTAGGGGACTTATAACCCCAATTATAACCTACTTACTAAGTCCCATGATCCTCTAAGTAAATCATATTGGGGATCCGATGATAATTGTAAGTATGTTCCTTCATAAAGGGGTGTTGGAGTCTTTGGGAAATTGAAAAGAGCACAAAGAGAGAGAGAGCACCTTGTAAGAGCAGAAGTAGTTATTGTGTATGGGATGTAATACCACAAGCGGAACCTCGGTCCGCTCCCATATTCTAGTATACGATATTCGAGTACAGTATTCTAGTATTTGTATTCCGTTATCATATTCTAGTATACTATATTCGAGCACAGTATTCTAGTCTATTATATTCGGTTATCGTAGTCCAGTACACTATGTTTGATTATGGTATTTTATAGTATACGATAGGTTGATGCACTCATTCAAAGAATGCGGCATTTCCAAAGCAGCCAGGCGCGGAATGCCTCCGAGCCGTGGGACCCTCGGGACGTGTCATCGGATTTGGGCCGCCGAAATTCTTTCATCCTAGAGCCTTCGTAGTAGAGAAAGTACTTAGAGGATCATGGGACTTAGTAAGTAAGGTTATGAGTAGGTTACAATTAGGATAACCCCGCTTAGGACTTATAACCCTAATTATAACCTACTTACTAAGTCCCAGGATCCTCTAAGTAAGCTTGACATCCTTTAACCTTCCCCGGATACGAAGATAAGCTATTTGGCTCTAGGGCACTAGGCTGCATCCGAATAGAAAAGTGGTGTACTGTGAATGAGGCAAAAGCCACGGACAGCGGAGAATAACCCGTTCCGTGGGTACAAGGCGCTCCGGTGTCGTTGAGTGCGCTTGGGGCTGGAGGACATTGGGCAGACTTGCTGACTACAAGGGATGACCGTTACTATTGGATGAGGGAGTTTCCGGAAATAGGGGACCCTAATAACCCAATATAGTAGGATCCTTGTTATTACAAGGACTCTAAAAAAAGGTACCCCTAATTTTCGGAAACTCCCAGGAGGAGCTCTGAGTTTGCAGTGTCACTCATTAAGATGCTGCCGTTCTCCAGGAACCTTCACCGCGGGCTTGTCTTGTGGCAGCATCTACCTAGTGATCCTGCCAAGCGCACCTGTCGATATCATCTCTTTGGCTTTTGGGAGTCAGTGCTTCAGCAGCCTAGTTTGTGCATGTTGGTTGCTGCCAGAGGTTGACTACGCCGCTGCTGCAGCCTTCACTCAGTATCAAAAATGAGCTGATGCCCTGCATGAATACAAAATACCGAATTAAATCATACTGCAATATATTACTACTGTACTCGTTTACTTAGAATACTGCTACTTTAACTAGAAAAATATTACCTTAGTTAGAATAAGAAGGATGCCCTCTACCCTCTGGACTGTCATGGACACCTGGCGAGCTGAAGATGACGAAGAGGAACCGGGCCTTCGAACGGTGGGGTCAGGAAAGTTTGTAGATCGCTTTGGCAGAGCCTGGCAGCAAGCAGTGTGGGACGATAATTTGAGAGCAATGAAGGAAGAAGACGTGTTTTGGCGACCAAACTTTTTCCCAGCTCAAGTGTTCTTTCGCGTGGATGCGCCGTCTGCGCCGTCCACCATCCCGTTTCGGCCGAAGCAAAGCGCTGATGGGAAAGTTGATCCTCTCCACTCCCGCAGTCGCTTGGCAGCCTGCCATCTTCACATTGGAGACTTTCTGAAAGTAATCCTCGGAGTCAACATCCCGCAAGATGCACTTCTTGCTATCTGTGCTTTGCTGCCTCTCAGAGAACGTCGAGCTTTCAGCTGTTTGGCCCGCCACTTCCGCTTGGCAACCACGCTCACTTGGAGTGACGACCCTGCTGAGAACGACACGACTCTCTTGACCATCCTGCGGAATGATCAGCCGGAGTTTCTATCCAGAGCTATCAAGGATTCCGGCACCAGCAAAGATTCCCTCGGAAGGATCCTCGTGTATGCGACTGATGGAGGCAGGGTCTACCGTCGCCACCGATGCTGCAGACTTCTGGGCGAGATCGGTGCAGAAGTTCGTTGTGAAGATGCCGTGAGGGTGACGGGTGGACTGCTCGGCTATCACGATGGTGTTTATTTTCGGAGGCTCGGCACGAGTGAAGCCTGCTATATTGGATTTGATAGCCGTTTGGCCTTCGAGGAGCCCTCCGAGAACTTGTTTCGCCTGATAGAGCACGGTTTCAAGATCAGCCCAGACAGAACCCGGAAGGAGAAAATCTGGTGCCATTGGGATGATGGAGGCTTCAATTTGGCCCATGTTGCATTCTCGGCCAGCACCGCACCTCCCTCTGACGGATGGCATGCAGAAACGGACTCACCAGAGCTGACCCCTAGCATCCGTATCCAGCCGGTGGGTCTCGAAGACTTGCTGTATTCCGGCCCTGCGAGTAGTGGCCCAATTCTGGAAAGAAGGGAGCTTCGCATCTCATGTAGGAGGCCACCTCAGTGGGTCCCCAAAAGTGACCGGCCCGAACAACCTGGATTCTAAAAGACTTTGCATCAGCGGGGACAGGGGGCCCTAGCTAAACTCTGAATCCTATAGAGCCCCACCTTCCACCACCAGAGCCTGTTTCTTCTGGTAGGGTCTCTATGATTTCTAGATTACGGTTTGCAATGAGATCTCACCTGTTTCGGGCTTGGATATGCCCTTTGCGGCTGTTGCCATCACTGTTATCATGAGACATATACCGTTTTCAGGTGGAGATGTGCTGAATGGATGAATGCCATGAGACCTTCTGTCTGGTTCTTAGTAGGGAATGGGGGAATGGATCCCTATAGTAGCCCCTATTTAATCCCCAACTGTAGTCTCCATAATCCATTCCCCTATTCCCTTCTAAGAACCAGACAGTACACCCTAAACCCTAGACCCTATAGATCCCTTAAAGGATAACTTAAGGACCCCCTATTCCCTACTAAGAGCCAGACAGTTTCTGTTGTACCACTGGAGTCCAACCTCTCTTCTTGCGAGTCTTGGGCTCATCATAGTCACTAGTATTTGCTTAAGAACACCAAAAAATAAAAAATATATTCCTTATGGGGGTCATATAGGGATTATTATTTTTAGTTTTTGGGTGGTTTCTTAAGCAAATAGTAGGTCATTATAGGGGCCTCAATAATTACCTATACTATCTTAGGAGTTCCTTTATTAACCATGCCATAGCGGGCCTCAAAACCCTAGTCTGATTATTCAGGCCTCTATATGAGTTGAGTACTGACTGCTGCTTGGGACGCTGGTATGTCGTGGTACTCTACTTCTCCTTATTACGAAAGGTAGCCCAAACAAGGTAGCTCTTGCTGGCAAACGACTTGCGAAACTCGAGAATCCAGCTTCCCTTTGTCATACATAGTTTGAACTACAAGAATCTTTGCCTATAGCTAATCCTACTGCCACACCGGAACGTGTGGTCTCGAAGCCAAAACGCCCAATAGTTAGGTGTTTGGGTTTTGGGCAATAGGAAGGTACTTAAAATGAATCGTATATAGGTACTTGGACCCTGAAGGTTATAGAATTTTCGAGGACGCGACTGAGGTTTGAGCGCAACATGTAAGCTGTGTATCAGTGGCACGGCAGTGCTTGCTGAACCCGAAACCCCCAAACTGCCAAATCCTAGACCCGAAACGCAAGGCCTGAAGCCAGGTAGCAAAGTAGCCTTCACAGTATAGAGTAAGCTGCATAGTAGGCCTTAGACTAAGCCTTGGGGGAATTCTTTTTGAGTAGCCTTGCATATTTGAAGGAGCCCTGCGTAAGCCACTTAAGGATATTCTTAATTGTATAGGTAGCCCCCTAACCCCCTAAACCCTAAACACTAAAACAACCCTAAACCTTAAACTCTGAACCCTAAACACTAAATAAACCTCTAAACCGTAAACTCTAAATCCTAAACACTAAAAAAAACCTTAAACTTAAAACTCTGAACCCTAAACACTAAATAAACCCTAAACCTTAAACTCTAAATAAGCCCTCAACACCTTAAACACTAAATACGCCCTCTAAACCCTAAACCGCGTCCTGTGGGTTTTGCCTTCGACGTTTTGCCCTGCGCAGCCCGAGCTGACGCCGGCGGCCATGCAGTTCCCTCAGTCAAAGGGGCTCCATGATTTTAGGGATGTTTAGGGATGTTTAGGGTTTAGGGTTGTAGGGTTTGTAGAGTTTAGGGTTTAGGGATGTTTAGGGTTTAGGATTGTTGGGTTTGTAGGGTTTAGGGTTTAGGGATGTTTAGGGTTTAGGGCTGCAGTTCAAGACCTCCCAGCACCCGCGAAGATGTAAAAAGTAGATCCAAAAATTTGAGAGCCTGTAATTACTAGTCAAGGTTACCAATGGGAGCTCTACTTTTCGGACCGGTGCGGGAGTCTGGGTTTGGGGTTTCATTGACCTTGAAACGTCCCAGAATCTGGGCTTTTATCGTTGGAATAGGGTTGCAGGGAACTTTTTGGGAGGTAATATTGGCAATCATTTAGACGTTCTGCTGTAGATAAGGTCTTTGCAAGCTGCCAAGCAGAAAACGTGCCTTAAAAGCCACCATAGCCAGGGTTTGATTATCGGCTTTCTGATTGTGAACTTCAATATAGCGAGACTTGAATCATTATCACTACCAGTATTTAGTCGTATTGACATTATTAGTGTTTCTTTCGTCCCAGAGACTCCAATATCCCTTAATTAAGGAATATACCTTAAATTATAGTAGGATCCTTAATATGATTTAAAGAATATTCCCTAATTAAGGGGTATTGGAGCCTCTGGGGTACTACTACTCTTATTACTATGAAGCCAAGGTCTGATGGCCAGCTTGGCGACGATCCGGAGGCGCCGCGAAGGGCCGTCACGCGAGCCCTGGGCGGTGAAGACCGAATCACCAGATAGGGGCTTAAATGACTGCCTATACCATTTTTTGGGGGGTTCCTTTAAAGGGTTCCTTAAAGAGTCTATACGGGGGATCTATATAATATAGGAGCGGAAACCTCAGTCTTACCACCTGATCCCGCGAAGAGAAAAACGTCCCATGTTGTCCTCGTCGTCGCAGGCCTCGCCGTTGGGGGCAGAGGCGCAGGCAGCTCGGATACTTGGGCTCCCCTGAAATATCTGTAACCTCAGTAGCTGAGTGGATACACTTTGCACTTATTGAAACAAAAAAAAGCCCACTATAAAGCTGAAAGGGTACACTTTTTGGAGCTTATGAACTCAGCAACTGAGTAATTATCAGCACTAGTGACAATCATAACTTCTGTTTGGAGGTTCCCGAGTTTAATCAAGAAATATAGGGGAAAAAGTTTGTCCCCAATATGTTTAGAGCTTAACGGCCTTGAGAATTGGAGTGTGGTTTTGGGGAAAAGAGACTATGAATGGTCATATGGCTGGTTGTCAAAAACAAAGTCCCTTTTTGGGTACGCTAAATACTAGATGCCGTATTATATGAGGGACCCAAGAAGGGAACCTAATTTGGACAACCACCCATATTATGACTGCTTCTTCCGACCTGCACAGGAACCTGTTCGAAAGGACAGCTGTTGGCTCTGAAGGTTTGGCAGGCCCAAGGAACAAAGCATGGTATAATATGACATAATGTCATAGCATACATACTAGAGTATCATAGCAAGGAATAATACAATTTAGTATAGTACAACATTATCTTGTAATATAATACGATGTAGTATAAAAGCCTCCTGAGAGCTTGAAGCCACGTGGGACGCACGAAGCCTCGCTTCATGTTTGCCAGGGCGCGGATGAGATCGACGATCACGACTGGGCCTCAGTGAGTCAAAGCAATAGTTCCCTTGCTGTAGTTGCGAGCACTAGGTAGCAAGTCTCAGAGCCCCGACACCGGGGATTGGAGAAGGCGACACCATGCATCTAGTTCAGCTTGTTAAAGGTCTTGAGGAACAGGCGCATCTTATGCACCTGAGTCCTGAAACATGGAATCTGCATCCCGAATTCTGCAGAAGCCTGTTGAGGCATGTTGTTTTCGTGAGACACTGCAGAAAGTTCATCAGGTACCATTCATCCCAAACCCTTATATGGGGGCCCTAATAGTTACCCATGCTGTTTTGTTGGGGGGGCTTCCTTACATATTCCTTAATTAAGGGGTATTGGCTTTTCTGGGCATGTACACTCGGCCCTAGAGCCCTATTTTAATTACAAAATCCCCTATATTATGGAACCCTTACAGTGGCCCGAATAGTGACCCCTTTACAGACACCCTACACCGCGTTGTCTCTGTTGAGTTGGCCTCTTTTAAGCACAGAAACTCGGACCTGGAGTAGGCCCTTATTTCCTTTTTTAGGGTTCACGTTCCCTTATAAGGCCCTTCAAAACAAAAGGGCACCCTGTCTATTCCTAGGTTATTCTTGGGTCTAGTTAAGGATTCTTTTCAGGGCTCCTTCAAGGGTTCTATAAGGTCCTATACGGGTACTAATGGGTTCCTGAGTAGTGCCTTTACATAAAAGGCTCCTTGAGAGCTTTATAAGGGATCACTAAAAGCGTTCTACAAGGAATCCGATACGGGTACAATTTTTTTCCTAGGCTACTCTTGGGTCTAGGAAGCGGCCCAGGCGCTGCTGCAGTACTGGGTCGAGGATGGCAGCTCGCAGCTCAGAGTGTCAGGGGGGTTTAGGGGTTAGGGGTTTATAGGGTTTAGAGTTTAGGGGTTTAGGGTTTAGGGGTTTAGGATTTAGGGATCATCTTCTTCTTCATCATAAGAATGAAAAAGTATTCTATGGTACTACTAGTACTATATTTACTAGAAATACCAATGGTAATAATGATAATGACAATAACAATAATCACACTTTTCACCATCGTCATCACCACCACCATCATACCATCATCTTCACCATTGTCATGATCAGTATCATCATCAACAACAGCAATACTGAATACCCAGAAGACTGACTAGCAACAACAACAACAACAATGACGGAAATTCTGCCAATGATGGCAACTAGACTGGTGCTGAGACTGCACGGGGAGATTGCATCTTGCAAGGCTCGGAACCACCATGCAACGAACAAGTTGCACCGTGACAGATGACTGAAATGCGCAGAGCAGCCTTGAATACCTCCTCTAGAATACCTCCTCTAGCCTCAAGAGGCCCAAGAGCCACAGAAAAGCCCCAATGAATCCCCAATGAATCCACTTAAGGTAAAAGCCAGAAAGTTTGAATATGATTATCCTAACCCTTCTATGGTACATTATAGGGTATCCTACCATGAAACCATATTCCAACTTTCTGGAGTTTCCTATACTTAGCAGCCGAGCAAGTCGCCTCTAAGCTGGTGGGGTCTATTTGGGTGGTTGTCAAAAATAGGGTCCCTTTCCCAGAGAGCCCAATATTCCTTAATAAAGGAATATAGCTTAAATCATCATGTGAAGTCGCTTATAATTTAAGGTATGTTGCTTGATTAAGGGGTATTGGGCTCTCTGGGTTTTGGGTCCCTACTATAATACGGCACCTAATATTTAGGGTACCCAAAAACGGACCCTAACTTTGACAA